TGGAAAGGCCGGGGGAAAACTTGAGCAAACCATTTCGATATTTTTTCTTTCATTTTCAGGATTTTTTCCCTTTCGTTGCTCCTCACTATATGAAAACTTCACGAGTCTTTGCCGAGAGCAAAAATATTGAGACTGTGAAAATTACTCTCCACATTTTTTTATCGATTTGGAATAACCGCTCTCAGAAACCAAGTGGGCAGTAAGCCATCCACTGCTATCCGTTTTAATCTAATAATAAAAATTTATACGAAGATTTCCTTGAATTTGGAATTTCAATCCTCTCAACATAAAAAGGAAAAATCGATCTGGAAATAATTTTAATGTCGAAAGAATGCACGCGCGGTCGTTCTTGTACAGAAAATCTCAAAATTTTAATTAATATTATATAAGTTGAAATGAATTAGGGACAATGTTCTCATTAACTTGTACGTTCTGAACTTTTCCTGGGAACTATATTCAGTAATACTGAAAATAGAACGGGAATTATTCAATTTCATAGAAAGGAAAATGTGTCACGATTACACGAGTAGAATACAGGATTTCGGGGTGTATTCGGGGGCTTTATCTCTCATCCCAGTCTCTCGTAGACTAAACTAAATTCGTTGTAGCCTCTAAAGAGCTCCCCCGAGTAACCAAACATACGTCGATATTAGCCTGCGATTCCCTCCACATTTCTAACCCTCAGAAACCGATCGCGATTCCTAAATTTACGATTAATTAAATTTTCCATATGGCGTACCGGTCCGACAGAAACGCGGGTTATCTAGGGTATTATTCCAAACGACATTTTTCCTGTCAACAGATGACTAATGTAACTCGACCAAATTGTCTGTAAAATACTGAAAACTCTTGGGCTGAGTGGAAAAGTTATGGATACCCGGCTGTTCCAGTTATAGTAGAAAATAACGAGCGTTTGAGAACAATAGCCCACAAATTGGCAAATGGGGGAATCCCATTCTCCGTTGTGGTCAAGTCGGAAGGGGTGAGAACCAGAGAAGAGTGAATGAGCGTTTTCCAGCCATGACGACAAATTTCCAATAAAAAATAAATTTCCATCTATCAATCAATCTGATGCACGAATTTTTGCCAAAAACCAATTGATCGATATTTGACGAGTTGAACCACAATTTTTTTTTCCACTGAGCCTGCCAAATTTTCATCTTCTAAATAATAAAAATTCCCCAATCAATCACACGAGTCTAAACAAAACACTTTTGATATTCAACTGTTGAATGAAAAATTCCTGTCAAATAGCGATTGAAAAAATCTGTTAAAAAATCCCAATATTGAAGTTCACGTGTAAAAAGTATTTGCTCGGAAGAATGAAAGCGCCCTCGGTATAGAAAAATATATATATCCGAGAGATATGGAGAGGAATATACTGGCGTGACTGTTTCAATGGGGGTAGGTGAGTTAAACCTCGGGGAACCAGAGCGAACAGCACCACTGTATAATGGTAGGCAGAGGGAAGAGGGTGTCTTAACCCCCTCGCCAGCTTTTCATCATAGCGGCCTCATTTCAAAGCCCATCCTTACCCCCCCCCCAGTCTACCGACTCATTGTCCAATGCTTCTCCTTTTTTTCCGCGATCGCGATACCATTTCCAACTAAACGCAGTCATAACTCCACCCTCACCCCCTCTCACCCTCCAACAATTTTACAGCACATTGATAATAAAAAAAAAAATCCCACCATTTGGCATCAGTTAAAGTTTGAACCAAATTAGATTATAAGAGAATATTTACTCCACTACATATTTACCGTAACATCCCCGAGAAAAGCGTAAAATGCTAATTAAAAAACCGTGATGTGTTGAATTTTTTCACTGCACAGCCAAGTATTCAGTGATTCCTTTTGATTAACATTGCCCGAGGAATTTTCTGGATTTTAATACTTTAATAATTAAAACTACACATCCAATGTTAATCCAATTAATACTGGCATTTTCCGGTTTTATGTTTGCCGAGATTTTCCCTGATCCATTAAATTTTTTAGGGTGCAAATGTAAAAATGGAACTGGAAAATGAGGGAATTCTTTCATCAAGCCACGACATTGTTCTATGGCTCTACTTGATATACGGCATTTTATACCTCACTGCATTTGTTTTTGACTATTTTTTATGGAAGAATAAGTATAATGCTCAATAAATAAACTTGAATAAACACTGACTTTTCAATGACAAACACTTGATAATACCTCCGGACAGTTTTATGAGGACAATGCAGTCACAGGGGGGCGAAAAGTTGAGGTAGGTTACAACTTTGGCTCGCTTGGTAAACCCAGTGGGTAGTCGTTAAAACTTGGAATATGAGAAAATGCCTGAGTGAATAGACGGGAAGACCACCAACTCGGAGACTCAACTTGAATTCTTTTTTTTTTCGTTAAAAAAAGAAACGCGGAGGGAGAATTCTCAAAGGGTAGGAAAATGAAACAGTGAAACAGGGGAAGTATTCGTGTGCGAAATGATGCGAGTCTTTCATCAGTCTCCATAAAACGTAATAACAAGAGGATGACACTGGCAACGGAGAATAAACGAGAACCGAGTATAAAACACGGGGGAGCTGAGAAATAATTTGTTTTTCAATTCCAATGAAAATATTTTTGTCGTTAAAATTGAAGTCGCCGATTTTTCGCTATGATGAGAGGGATTCAAATGGATTGATTTTGAGAATAAAATGAGGATTATTTTCACAAGTACTTTTGGACTAACTAGAGTAGGTGGTATCCACCCTTCACGATGAAGCTACTCCGTCGTTCCACACTCAACAAGAGGGCGAAAAAGGGTGGGTTTTGTAGGACCCTTGCGGCTCTCCATCACCTAGTCCGATCGTTGCTAGCGTCCAACGTCTGTCATCCCCCCGAATTCTCTCTCTTCACTTGCAGTCCCTCTTTTTATTTATTTTTTTGGTACGTGTCTCCCGCCCAACTGCAATTCCTTGCAGCGAACGTACGCCATTATCCCTGACTCAATGTCTAGTGTTACTCAGAGCTACACCTCTCACTGCACACACTTGGAGCGTCAAAATCGATTCACCAATGGATGAGAGTGAGTGAGTCGATGCATTTGCCTCAGCATTTAATTGTAAAAATGATGAGGGAGAACACTTTCAACACGCAGATACTATTATTCTCTCAATTCACTTGTAACTGATCAAAGAATGGAGACGCTCATTCTCCACTGATTACTCTGGCCTTTTTGCTCCAATAACCCTCTCATTTTTCTCCCCCTGGTAAATCAATATTCAATTTCATAGCTAATTTACGAGGGTAAAGAAAACGAATGAGGGGGAAATTGTGAAATGAAATGAGGAGAGTTCGATGACAGAGTTAATGGGAAGTGGATGCTGCGATATAATGGAATGGTCAGCTGCAGAGAGCACTGTGTCATCACCATGCCCAGCATAAAAAACCCCTGGTTCACACTCACTTGAGTGAACTCAAGTCCTCGAAAAACCAACGAGCGCAGCAGAACTCAAAAATTCTGTACTCAGCATATTACTCGGGGGATAAATCGCGGGATCCATTTGCGTGGCAAACAATTGTGATCATTTGTTGCGGCATTTTGGCTTATTAATGGAATCCTTGGAGCCTGAATTTTACTGGGGAGGATTCATATTACATCACTTGAAGCAAGTTGGGGACTTGAAGCTTCACAATGCTGCTAGCGTTAATCCTCTTTTCTACTCGGCTGGTTTGCATCCCCCGGTGCAAAACCCACATCCTCCCTGGTGGAGTTTAGAGTTGGGGCAGTATACAGGAACTAGTTTACATTATGGAGGAAATTTCGCCAGTATTTTTTATGGCTAAATGTAGAGCAAGGGGCCGTAAAACTTTGAAGGATTATTTTTTTTATTCATCCTTGGTTTCACGATGAATTTCGAACGATTTAATGGGGGAGAAGCTTCACCAACTCGATGAGATAGAGGAATGATGAGTTAAGAGAGTGAAGAAAGCAGTCAAATCTGAATAAAACAGTCAGGCATAAGTGCTTCTGATAATTCAACGATTTAATTCGAGAAAATCACGAGTGGAAGTACAAGAACTACTTTACATCACGGAGGAAATTTCGTGAAGATTTTTTTACGGGCGAATGTAAAGCAAGAGGCTGTAAAAGTTTGAGAGGCCATTTTTTTCCTCCCCCTTGACGATGAATTTCAACCTTTCCCTTCAATACTTTCCGAAGTCGATCGAGTAAGCGGATAATTACATGAAATCCTAATGAAAAATAATTGGATCGAGAGACTTGATTTAAAACATTTATAATTCCACACCTTTGCTGATACTATTCGAGCGATTATGCTGTCGAGGTCACGGAGAAGTAATGAAGCCAGAAATTCGCCTTAGAGGAAGTTTGAGTGTAATCAAAGTACGAGGAATTTCCTTAACAGTGCAACAATCGAAGCCTCAAGGTTGCGGTTTCCCTGTGATCATCCCCCGACCAGAATATTTCGAGATAATCATTATAGTGCTTCCCCATTACAGTGGAAATGATTTTTTTCACTTATCAATTGATCATTATTTCTGCACTGATTTGTTTTGTTAAAGTTTTCCAATCAAATACACCGATTTGTTCTAGACTTTCTACTCCGACGCTTTCAAATAGGCATGATACCCCCTGACCAGATTGAATTTTATAAAAACATTGGGTGAACCCTGGGGTTCTATTTTTCTTTCCGAGTTTCTTTTTTCCATCGGATCTTTCTCCACTTATTCCCCGGTCGACAAACACTTGTTGAAGGAGGATTGAGACAGTGCCCCAGGGATTTTCAATAAAAGAGTACTGGTGACTCTTTTTTCGCGCTACCTTTCCCCCTTTGTATTCGAGAAGAAAAAATATTTTTCACTCCTCCAGGAATTGCTGCGTTCGATCGCAGAAATGTTATCAAACGCAAATGATTTTTTATGTGGTCATTTTTCATTGTGGGATAGCAGAGGATTTTATTTCCTCGTAGAAGAAAAAGCCGGAAATAAACTGAAATAATATTGATCATTCGACTCACCCCTGGCTCTCACTGGGGTCAGACTCGGGCCTTCACTCTCCGCGACCTCGCCACGATTTTTCACATGATGCCAGTCCTCACGTAATTTCTTCAGCTTCTCCTGCAACAGAATTTATAACGAATTTAAATTAATATCTGTCAATTGCCAAATTGATTTATCCCCTTCTCTTCAAATTTACCTGAAGTTCTACAGAGACTGGTTGCTTAGCAGCTTCACACTCTTTCTCTAAATTTGTGTAATTCTCAAGCACCTCCTTTACTTCCGTCTCTCGATCCTTCACTTCCACCTGATAAAATTAATTAAATCTTGTGATAAAAAGGAATCTATAGAATGACCCATTAAGCTCTAGTCTCGATCTGAAATTTGCAAACTCACCATAATGCCGTCAAGAACTTGCTCCCTTTCAGTCCCAGGCAGCTCTCGTGAAATATTAATCCTAGTGCTTGTCTCCATAACCCAACCCATGACACTATCCAAGCTATTAATATACTTTTTGATCGAAATCAATTTATTCTGCACATAATCTCGGTGGCAGGATAGATTGCTCTGACCCGTTGCAATTTCCCTCAGAAGCCCGAGCAACTGCTCATCATCCGAATTATGCGAATGACTCTTCAGGCTCTCTAGCTCGTTTTTCTGAGCGCCAAGTTCCTCCTCCCTTGCCTGCACAGTGAAACATATTTTTCAAAGACGATACACCCTTAATAAAACAAAAACGACTGCCATAAAAAAAAACTCGAGAGTACGAATAAAACCGGCAGTTTTCAGACCATCATAAATTTTCTCCGAAGAAAAACACCAATACCATAAATCTCGTAAACATAAATACTAATAAAAAACCTAATCAGCTGTATCAAAGATACGGTGGATTTCTTATTTATTCAGCAAAATTGAGTTTTTTGATTATTGACTCGAATGATTTTCCCAGCTCTGCAGGAGTGAAGGGCAATAGCTTCGTGCTACCCCGAGGACTACAATTTATTCAATAGGAATTCACAACGCTGTTCGTCAACAACCGGATATATAGAAAAAAATAAAAGCGACAGCTATTCACGTCTTGGCGCAGTTAACTTGAGGAAGCGGAAATATATTTTTGGCGCCACACACCGTAATCGAATGTACTATATATTCAACAATAGTAACTCACCTTTATCATGGATAACCTGATGGACAGGGACGTGTCATCCGAAGGATTTGCACTGGAGTCCAAGAGCGCACTGACACGTCCAATACTATTCTTGGCGGATTGTAGAATGGCCTCTTTGTTATTTACTTTTTTCTCCATGGCGGTGTACCTTTCGAGACAAACCCGGAAACGTAAAATATAAGTCACATTTTCGACGAAAGCGCTTCTTCATAAATCGAATTTCAGATTACAATTTCCCAAATAATAAAATATCCCTCACGTGTTTCATTACTACCGAAATTCACAAACCCTTGAAAATTCCATAACACATTTCGTAATGAATTTTCCGAATCGCAGGCTAGATAAACAACAGCCTCCCCACGCTCGAGTCAAAAGCAAACTGAAATAGCACAACGTAAAGTTTCGTTTGAAGCCAGAACCCATGAATTCCCCTCAAGCATATTTCGGGAATACCATTGCTTCAGTGTTGTACTACATGATTTCTACCTACATGTAAACCCTCCAACAATAATCCTCTCACTTTTATAAATCTCGTACTGTTCGAGTTGAATTGAATTTAAATTGAACGAATAGTGAACTAGTATTTTTCAAACAAGAGCCGCTGAAATTTTTTTTAACAATGCAACGATAGAGAATAGGACTTACTTTTCTTTGAGGGCATTGAACTCAGCCAATAACTGGTGCCATCGATGTTTTGCATGATCAACAGTAGTTTGTAATTCAGTAATATCCTCAGGGGACGAACGAGACAAAATATCAGCATGCAATGTGCCAATGGAGCCAAACATTTTCTGCATCTGCTGTATCTCATGCTCCATCTCTGGGAGAACGCCTCCCGATTTTTTCGGTGATACTTTTTTCAATATCTCGGTCGACTTGTCCATGTACTCAGTGAACATCCAACAAGAGTGATCGACCTCCCTCCATTTCTGGGAGCACTTAACCCAGCGATTGTATCTCTCGGTGTAATTACGATTGACTGTCAGCCATTCCTCCCTCAATTTCTCAGCCAAACGTTTCGCTTGATCACTTGTCTCTTTTTTTATGCTTAATGCTGCACTTTCAGACAGATAACCCATCTCCTCGACGCTTGGTCTCAATATACTTAATGCATTACTCATTTTTCGTAAACACTCCTCCTGACTCAAGAAGAGTTCGTAATCTTTGCCATTCAATGGAGTTGAGTTTAATGAACGTGATATTGTGGATATAGCCTCCCTCAGTTTATTTGATCTCGTGGCGAAATCAAGAGCTGAGGCACTGCCAACCTCCTGCAATTCCATCTTTTTGTCCGCTACTTTCTCCTTGTCTTTGCTGCCACTGTACCTTTTAAATTGAGAGCTTATCTCGTGCCACCTTGTGTTTATACTGTAACGAATAGCCTCTGGGTACCCAACATTGAGTTTCTTCAACTCGTTGCACAAATTGTTCAACTTTTCTATCTCCTCTTGCTTAGCATCGAACTCCTCGGTAAAGCTCTCCAATTGCTTCTCGTAATTGTTCGCTTGTTCCAACTTTGCAGGCACCTCACGGAACCATTTTTCGAAGTCACTTATTAGTTTGTTGTATTGTTTTAGCAATTGCTCAGCTTTTTGAGCTTGAACGCGCCGGGAGTCAACTTCGGTCATCACTTGATGCCATTTGCTACGGAGTTTATCCTGGTGTTCATTTTTTATTTTTTCCGCGCGTCCCGGGTCCAGCATGTGAACTTTCATTACTAGACCGTCCCCGCGACTTATTAGAGAAGCCGCGTCCGGTGCAAGACTACTCACTTCGTTTTTCAAAACCTAGAATTTTTTCGGGCGCATTCGATATTGCTCTCTGATAAAATAGAGTAGAATAGAAACACGAACATCGTCTCGTCGAGGAAAATAGAATTTGAGACTAAAAGACATTTCCATTTCACTTACCTCAAGCCGCTCGGAGGGATCCTTCTCATTGGAGACAGCACCAACAGTCATTAGCATAACGTCTATTCTCCTCGACATGAGCTGTGCAGCTTGCTCGAACTCAATGATATCACGTTCTAATGCAATTTTTGATGAGTTGGAGCTGCGTACGTCTTTCCCATCGACATGAGACTTGAGCTCCGGTTTCTGGGGAATTCTTTCCACCCTCTCAGCCGTCGACTAAAATGAAAACCAGTTTCACCAATTTAAAAGATATTACGAGGGGAGAATCTAGCATTGATGGATTTAATCACGAAGTTAATGGAGGATTGTGATTGATTCTGGCTTTATTTTCTCCACGTGTTAAGATTACCTTATTCACGAAGTTTTCATTACCCCTCACAGAGCTAGTATCCCCATCTGAGCTACTATCACTACTGGCGTCAATCTCAGTATCATCCGAAAATATCAGAGCGTCGTCAGTCTCTTTATCACTGCCGTAAAAACTCTCGCAATCCTCCTTGGTATCATCCAAGGAAAGACCCTTTAATCTTCTCACAGCAATGGATCTCTTCCCCTTATTATCATCTCTATTAACAACGCCAATTTTCCCTGTCTTAACGTCATCCTGTTGTTTATGAAGCATGCCCCTTAACTCTACCCTTTTATTTTCAGTCCCTTCCTCGCGTATCTCCGATGGACGACCTCCTTCATCCTCATCCAATATTAAATACTCAGCAACACTCGCTTCGTCCTTCCACGAGGTACCAGTATATCTCCCACAATTATCTCCATCTTGAGACATCCGATAACCGACTGAAGACTCCGAGGAGATCTCGTCCTCATGCAAACGAAGGGTCAATTTCTTGGGACCAGCCGAAGGTTTGCTTATATTTTTCCTCTTCAAGATAGGTACTATTTCTCTTTTCATTCCATGAAACCGAGGATTCACTTGAACTCCCCCATCCTTCTCCTCAGGATCAGTGTCAACAGACTCGGGTTCGGTCTCAGTATCCTCAAGTATTTCCACCCTTTCGACCACAAGTGGTTTCTGCCCGAAATGCACATTAGCCTTTGGCAAGACAACACGCTCACCTGGGGCTGCTATACCCTTAATTATTTCAATTTCCCTCACTTCCACAACTCGGAGGGGATTCGACTGAATATCAGGTGACTCAACTGCTGTTAATGTATTGGCAGAGACCTGAGAGAATAATTTACTATTTTTTGAGAGGAAGAATTCCTCCTCATCCTCCAAATAATCAATATTTTGCGCTGTCTTTACAACATCTGGTACTTCATTCATCTCGAACCTATGCTCTATCATACTGTTAACGTCTGTGACTCTCCCTCGGACTCTCTCTATTCTCTCATAGTACCTCTGATTGTCGGATGAGTAATTATGGAAAATTGGATTAATGTACTCTAGTCCACCAGTATTTTGATCGACATTAATCGAGTATTTCTCGAATTCTCTTAATCTATCCTGTCCAGGGTCTCTCCCCCTACCAATATCGTATCTCTCGCACTTTAATGCTATGTTATCAGTCACCTTGAACATCCAACCCTGCGAAAATATGATTCTTAATGGCTTATGGTCGAGTGAATTCCTCTCGTTTATCTTCTCTCTGACATTTTTTTTAGTTAAAACGAAATAGAGAGCCAGGGGGTTAATTAGGATGATGGTGATGATGAATCGTGTGAAGCCAGGCCATAGACACCACCATGCGCTTTTCTCTGTGCAAGGAAAGCTCAACCGATCTTTTTTTTTTCACTTGTCCATCACCAATATTACATTATCCATCTACATAATCTGGATATTTACTTTTTGTACAGAATTTTTTTTGCTGATCATTCTTAATCGTCTGGTTGATAAATTATTGTGGTACTAGGGGGAGAGACTCCAGTGCAAAAAATAATGTGTCCGATTCTCAAATTTTTATATGTACAGTCGTGTTCGCCTCTTTGGGGAATACTAGCTCTGAGATTTGAGTAATTACCTCGTGAACATTAGCTTGAGTATTCGTTCAATACAACAAGAACTTAAACACGCGCACTTTTAGAAATTAATTCATTACGTTACTCCGTATATTACATGGTGTTATTTTCTTTTTAGTTGATCATGAGTAATAATGTATATTTTATCTTTCTATAATGTGCGACGTTATCATTTTTTTTTAATTGGGTTTTTAATGTTTAGAGAAGCATTGTTATAAGCAATTTAGTGATGAAAAGCGATGATTGAAATTGTATTAAAGTATTCTGATACTTGTGTATGGTATAAAATTGAGAGGAGATGAATATTTACCTGGAGCTTTCGTGTAAGCTTGTCCCATTTGTCGCAGACAGCAGCCACTTTCGGGTAAAAAGTGTAGCGTTGCAGTTGAGATACTCGGGGAGTTACCTCTGTCATGTCTGACTGGATTCCCTGGAAGAATTATTCATTTTCAATCACTGAAAACCTCTCTAACGTTTATGATTTTTTAAAAATGCCGATAAAAGATGGTATGAATTTATTACAGATAAATTACCTTGCATCTCTCAATATGCTCCTTGTCAATGTCCTCAGCAGGTACATCGCATAATTTATTGATTTTCTCTTCAATTTGTAAAAGCCAGGCATTAATTTCATCGACATTCGGCTCATCCTCACTCGATGATATTTGCCTCAGTCTCTTCTCCGTGCTCGACAGCCTCGTTATAATATCCGTTAGTCTCTCCTTGAGCTGCTCCAAATACGATGGATCACAAAGTTTCAAAAATTCATCCTGACTCCGGAACAGTTTCTCCTTAACAGCATTCAGTCTTGGCAGGACTTCTGTGAGTGTCTCAGTGACGTAGATTGCATTGACAGGAAGATCTGGCATATTTTTCTGGGTATCTAGTTCTCTATTTATGCTCTCAATGGCCATGTTTAAGTACGTCATATGTTTGTACATATCTCGGGATAACTCGAGAGCGGATTCGAGGATCGATTTTGATTCTGTTATCCTCTGACCAAGTTTGTTGTATAATTCTTTCAGAGTATCGATCCTTTTGGAGAATTTATCGGGCTCTGAGACACTATTTTCTTCCACAAGTTTTCTCCCGATTACGATTATACTCTCGATTTCACTCTTTATTTCACTCAGGGTCTGGTAGAATCTGAGACAATGCTTCAATTGACCCTCAATTGCCTCAGGATCCTCCGAGGCAAGTTCCAATAAACAAGTGGCCTCTTCAATACCCCGAAGTTCGCGCAATGCTCGTGATAATCTGGGTTCCAAATTAGAGGGTGAACGAAAACGTTGAAACTTCCTCTGAACTTCCAAGAACTTCTGTTCAATTAAGGTCATTTGTTCTCTGAGGCGGCTCGCAGCCTCATGCTTGCCAGAATTTTCATAAATTTCTATTTGCGATTTCATCTCGTGGAGAGTTGTCTCCTGTCCATCCATTTCTTCTATTAGTTTCTGGTAATCATGAGGCAAATCATCAGCTGTCAAGTCACTGTCAAGACGTGCTGTTAATACAGAGTCTACTTGAGTTAGAGAATGTTGCAGGGCTAGTATTCTCCCCTCTGACTGTTGCGCCTGTCTCACTGATCCCTCCAGCAGCTGGGCTCGCTCCCCTGCCTTTTTACTGAGATCAGTCCATCGATTCTCTAAACCCTCAACATCACTTTCAATGGAACTCATCATGATGTCAGTCTCACCGAGCTGTTTTCCAATCTCCTGAATTTTCACTCGTCGTGACTCCGGCCGATTTCGAATATAATTCTCTAAATCGTCAAGCTCCTCAGAAATTTCCTCAGCGTCAGCAGCTCCCTTACTCGATTTCTTCAATCTCTTTTCCAATTTATCCAGCCAGTCACTCTCCTGTGCAACTAGTGCCCTAAATTCCCCGTACTCGTGACTAGCATTTTGCAATTGTCTATATCTCTCGTAAATACGATCAGTAACATCGGTCCAGCGTGCATTCAAGAAGGTGAAACGTCTCCCGAGCTCTTGAACAGATGAGCCCTCTGAACTCAACAGCCTGTCATTTCCCATTTCGTTCAAATTTCGAAACTCCTCGACTCGTTTGTCGATTTTATCCTTAAGATTCTGATAACGTCCGCGTATCTGAAACAGCTCAATCGAGGATGTAATTTTACAACTCTGAGGGATTTCCTTCTCCAGAGCTGATAGCCACTTGGTAAAGTCCTCAATTCCATTGACAATCTCGTCATTTTTCCTCAGTGCCGCTTCGTATTTATCCCTCTCGGATTTCACTCCATCGATAACGCCATGCCATTTCTGCGAAACCACTTCAAGCCTACTGTTGAGAACACTCGAAAATTTCGGCTCTGAATTTTCAAGCAGGTGATTCGTCGTCGTTTGCAGTGCCTCAACCCGTGGCTTTGTCTTATTTATGTCCTCCGAGAGGGACTTGAGCTGCTCAAGCTTAAATTGTGTAGTTTCCACGTCCGTTATCAACTGATCCTGAGATATTTCCTTCAAATACTTGGACGACTTTTCCAGCCACTCCTCCAGACTCCGAAACTCATCATTAAATTCCCTCAACGACTCAATATCTTTAGATAATTTTTGCTGACGCTCTTCCAAAATGATAGGAATATCACTCCACTTGGTGTTCAAATCCTGCAACTCCTCCTTAAGTCTGTGGGCTTGAGGCTCCCCTCCAATTTTCGATATCAACTCCTGTCCGGTATTGTTAACATAATTGAATTTATCGTGATGCTCTGTGACAGAGTTATGGAGGCCCTGCAGTTTATTCAACTGCTCCTCCATATTTTTCTCGTTCGAGAGCACCGTGTCCTCAGATAATAAAACCCCCTCAACGTTATTTATGAATGACAGGAGGAATGCCATTGTCTCTGAATATTTCTTGGGAGGAGTTTTATCGATAGCACTGCTCAGCTCTTTCAGTCTCGTCGACAGTTTATTATGCAATTGTTCCCACTTTGAACTGAATTCTCTAGTGTCGTTCTCTATGCCACCACTGTCACTCCCTTCGCCCGTGTTTTTCGTTAAAAATTCAACCTTCTCCAGCAACTTCTTGACTCTCTCCTCGTGGGATTTCATCGACTTGATCTTTACCCTGAATGGTTCGATCTGGGTGTTCTCCTTGTTGCCCTCGAGCCACTTCGTGTATCCATCGAGCATTAAATTCAAACTTGATAATTCCGAGCGAAATTGTTTGACATCCATGAGAAAATCAATTCTCTCCTTGATCTCACCGAGTCTGTTATTCGTCCCCTGCCAGCAATTCTTGATGTCATTAATCTTCTTAATTTCGTCTCCAAACTGCTCACCAGCCTCTTTCAACTCATTCACAAGTTGTTCTCCAATATCCAGGACTTTCTCGTACTCACCCCTGTGCGCCTCAACGTCTGCCAAACTTTCTTCGTAAACAACTTTCTTCTCCTCGACGCTCAGCTCATCGAATACACCCTCGGATCTTCCTATTTCGAGGTCGACGTAATCCAGCCACTTATACAAGTTCAATAATGCTGACTCGAAATCCTGTCTCGATCGGGCACCAGCTAGGCGACGTTTTTTCGAATCACTATGTTGAGCATCCGATAATTCTTGTTGATAGGCTATACTAGTCACGGTTTCGGACATCCAGTCGTTGCTTTTCACAACTCGAGTTTCAGTCTCGGTTTGAAGTTGGAAATCAAAGCCGGAGCTCGATATCTAATGCACAAAAATTATTTTTCTGTTGACGAAAATTATTTGATGAAAAGGAAAGTGCAAGTAAAGCCGAAGAGTAGATTATCCAACGGAAATGAAAAGCATTTATTCACAAAAAAATTTCATTACAAGAAAAAAAGATGAAAGTAAAGAAAATGCAGAAATAGCTCGTAATAAATAAAACACCAGCGTTCACTCACATAAAATAAATTAATTCATAAAAATCATAAGCATAAGCCAAGCAATAAGCATCATAAATTAAAAAGCACAAGCAGAATTTAAATTCTCGAGTATCCTACCCTTTGACTCTGCACCTCCATGATCTGCCCAATAGCCTCCCACTGATCCTGAAGATTCTCAATTTTCTCCAGCAAATCAGCGCACTCAGGCGTCATCTCCTTATCCCCAATATCCTGCACGGATTTCTGTAATTCGATGAGCCTCTTCTGATTATCATCCATCTCCATCTTGAGTGTCCTTATCTTTCTGATTCTCTCGAGAAACTCTCCAATCTCAGAAGCAGGTACTGCCTCCATTTGTCTCAGAGTAATTCCCGTCTCATTCAACCAAGACAGCAGTTTCTTGTAATCATCAACGAATTCCTTCCACACAGTTGTGAATGACTCGAGCTTCTCGGCTCGTTCATTCGTCCACTGGCAGATATGATTCCACCGTTCGTCGAGAGCTGCCAGCTGGTCCTCCATCTGGGCGTAGACTGTCTCTGAGTTATCCTCATCAACAATAACGATTATATTCCTTCCAGCATCGATCACAACCTGCTCTTTCTTTACATCTTTCTGGAGATCCTGTAGTTGTTTCATTTGCTCATCGAGGGTTGCTTGGCTCACTTCTGAAGCAGCCATGTGAGAAATTCTGTCCTCAGTTTTCGTCAGCCACTGCTTCAACTCATCCAGCTGCTTCTGCTGCATGCTCAGGAGTAGCTCATGGATTTTGGATTGTCTGTCCATAGCTCTCATCCTCAACTCTTCCCATCTGGAATTCAACAAAGACATCTGCACACGGACTTCTTGTTCCTCATCCCTGTGCAGGCCTCCTTCAGCCAACAACCTGGCACCCTCTTCTAGAACTGCTCCAACCCCATCCTGGTGGCCCGACAGCTCCAGTAAAAATGACTCGTGCTCGTGGAATTGTTCTTTCAGAGTTTCCAAGGTTGGGCCCAGCTCCGAGATATGACTCAATTTGTCTTCAGCCTCTAATAACCAGGTAAGAACCTCTTCCAGAGCCACTTGATATCCCCCCAACTCCACAGATACATTGGTAGCTAGACTCATTGGTCGTGAGGCAGGAAGACCTAAATTTGCAATAGAAAGCCCACTGTTTTCCGCGACTGGAGTCGTAGGAGTTGTGGCTTGACTCAAATCACTGGCCACTGATATATCAATGTCACCGATATCATCATCTGGCTGAGAGAGTTCTTGGAAAAGGCACATGACGTACACCATGATAGACTTTTTGTCTGGAACGGCTGTATTGACATCTGCAGAGGAAATGAAAAGATTTATTAGCCCTAAAATTTCGTGGGAATTTATAATTTATCTAAACTCCACTTGTCGCGGGATATTTTAATCGTTGAAAGCAAGTGAGAATTTGTATGATTACCTTCAGGATCGAGGAGACGTTGAATATTTAAATGATCATGTGCAAGACGAAAAGCATGGTCGAGCCGAGCATTTGGATGTTTACGAGCGATATTATCGAAATCGAAGAGCTGTGGTTGCCATTTGTGCAGAAGTGCGCAGAATGCAAGACCATCCGTCCATGATGTCGTAAAATTTTTTATGTCAACCCCCGGATAGTTCTATAACAATTAAAATGAGAAATATATGACAATCTCGTTTGGTCATTGTGGTTTTATTATCTCACAGGGCTTTTGGTTTACCTTGGTATTCAAACGACACCAGGCGAGGAGAGTTTTTTCCAAATTCGTTTGCTGAAGTCCCGCCATTAAATCTTTCAAGTGATAGTGTACCTGTACATGTTACGAGTTGATTAAATATTGGATGTATCAGTTTGGTGCTGTGAAAAACTTGTTATTCGATACCTCTTATACTTGATTTTACGCAATGCATGGGGAATACTGGATTTGAGACACGCGAACCACCTTCTCTCAACCTTAACCAAGCCAAAGATCGGATTAAGATCATTTACGGCATTGGCATACTTTGGTACACCTCAAATACCAAAATCCTTCATTCATACTGTTAATAAATTTATTTATCGCTAGATAAGGCACAAATATCCCTCTAAAATAGCATTGCATGAATTGCACAACTATATGACTTTTTTTTATTACAAACAGAAAAGATTATTATTGATAAAAAAGTCGAGAGAAAACTTCATTATGTCTTCTTTCCGTTTGATAATTCCTTCTCTCCAAAGATTTTTGATAAACCTCGACGTCAGAGGAGATTTGCAAAGGAATTTATTCTCCTCGGATATCGTCGAGGATGCATTCAACAAGAGTCGGGGAATTTTCCGGGCCTTAATGGGATTTTTATTGCTTGTACAGGTTTCTTCAGTGTTAGGAGCTAATTCATTCGATAATTTTTCAGTGAGTCCGTGTCTCTACCAAAGGAAATGCAGGGAATGGATTGACGGGACATTTTTCAGGTGAAAAATATAATTACCTGCCAGTGGAGGATTATGCTCCATACCAATCCAAGTATCAATTTGGGATTTCCATCGACAATATCATTGCTGCTTATGTTCACGAGTTTAACGTTATTCTGCTCTAAAATTTGTAATGCCTTATTAACGTTGTTGAGATGATGTACTCGCATTCGCCCACGTTCTCTCTTCTGCGGAGAATTGAGGAGAAAATAATTATTAGTTTCGTCATGCGTGCGGCATACATCAAGTCAATATTTTTCACTTTGTACTGGGAGAATTTTTCAAAATATCCCGGACTCCATGGTCATCAAAATTCAATCAACTGAATGAACGCGATTCCGAAGGAAGAATTATTTTCTTCACCGCGTCTAACGATCATTTTTTTTTTTTCAAATTTGATTTATTCCAGTGTCAACATTCCTCCGCCCACAAACGTGACACCAGCAGTACCAACGCCCTCGCTATTCTCAATGCAAATGACGCGCACCTGTGTGCAGTTCAGAATGAAATAACATTGGAACAGGGCATTTTTAATTCTCGTTAAAACCAGATCTGCAATGCTGACCAGTTAAATCTCAACTTTTTGCAGTGTCCAATAATTTCCCATATTTTTTTCCGTCATGATGCAACGCCGGGGGCCAATTGAGAATGTTGAACGTCAAAGCATTCGCATCCAAGCGAAATCATTAAAGACCCATTGGAAATGATTGCGTCATTACGCAATAATGTATTGCATCGCTATCCTGACGGCGAAGAATGACTATAATATTTCTTATCCCCCTTTCCTAGCCCCAATAAAATTGTAAACGTCGAACGATCGCTTAACAGATCCAAACGAATTAATCAGGAGAATAGCTTTGCTGCTTTACACTTACGTATGTCTTCGATGTGAGAACCTCCAGGAGTGAGAGCAGTCGATTACCATCTCGCAGGTCGATGAATAAATCTGACACTGGCTCATCATTATTCTTAAACAAAAAAATTTTTTAAATGAGAGACTGTATTCATGAGTGGGGAGAGCTAGTGCAACCTCTGATTTCGTAGACCTTCATTAGGTTACAAGTTCTTGGGTACTGATTGTACACTCTCCCGAAGTAAATTAGCATTTACAGCGGTCGAGATCCCCGCGAATTTGTCTTAATTTCAGAAAAAAAAACTTTCCATGAATTGGATTGAGAGCTTCGCGGATCGTGTAATATTTTAATACACATTAACCCGGAGAGCAGAATAACGAGGAAAACATTTCAATTATTCGGATGCATCTGGGTCAGAATTAACGACTCCTGATTCTCCCAGAGGATTAATTCGGGGTAATTTACCTTGATGAGTTGTGAGTTAATCCATTTTGCAAATGTCTTCTTCTGCACATCCTCTCTCTCGTCTGAAACAAAAAAAAACCACCCAGGCTGATTTATATGAGAATTATCGGTTGATTAATCTTACGATATTTCTTCCGTATCGTCTCCATTTTCTCGTGTTAAATAAAAAGTGAATGAATTATTTAAAATTTGAGTAGCACGATGAATTTTCATCGATCGAAATGTCATTGTGACAGATGAAAACCGATACTGAAGGCCATAAGACCGCTAAACTCGCCCTGAAATAACGACAAGCTCGATGAACCATGAATGTGCACACCTCTTTCATCGATACAATCGACATGGTATTAGATGTGGACCCATTAGAATCATCTTGAACTCTCTATGGATATCCCCCACCTTCTGGGAATATATCGATGCTACCGTGTATGGGCCAGTCTGGTTCGTCAGACGACCGATTTCTTGTCCAGTCACCCCGATACATCTTCGGTGGATCCGGATCCCCCAGTTCTTTTTCCTCCCGTCAATCGAGGGAATAAAACGAGCACGAATTTTTTCGTCGATTGAAACTTTATGAATCAAGTCACAATCGAGTCTCACGGATCGATCAATGAAATTTAAAAACCGCTCCTGATTTTTACAAAACTTTTTGACACAGTCCACGGTCATAAATCAAAGCCATATGTTGAGAAATTAATGAGTTGTCGATTGGTTCTGTCCACAGTGACTGAATTACTTTAAGTAGGTGGATGGGCTGATAATGATAATGGTGAATTGACGGTTGGGGATTGTCCTTTGGAGTGCGCAATGCTATTACGATCATTCGCGTGGCGCCTTTGGTGTCATTGCCCTGACGGTTAAATAAACCAACGTGCTCCATTGGTGGTATTACGTGACCCCCGACAATGTAAAAGAAACAGTGCGACCTTTCTAAAAGTAATGGTCTTTGGAGGGCTCCGAAATTAAAGTCTCAAATGATCGCATGGGAAGATTCAATAGAAAAGCTATGGGTAAATAAAAAGAGTTCTCTGGTTCTCCACATCATTGAACATCAACTAATAAATCCCATTCGATTTTCCAACTTTATGCAGCATTGACCAACCCTAATGAAGACCTTTTTATCATTGATTTCATAAAAACCCAATCGGTAATTCGTAATTTGATTACAGAATTTGCACCACTGGGATATTCCGTAGCCAAACGACACCTGACGTTTCTCTCGCCGCGCACCACTGGTTATTAAACACTTGCGATATCGTTTGAATCCAACATTAATTCGCCATATCAATTTTAATCTACCCAACAATCCTCGACATGCACTGAAACGCCCAACCGTTGAATTCGTAATATACCAGGTTTATATCCAGTGAATGGATTTATAATGAACTATTGATGGTGAATTTATATGGTATCATTCTGCGTTGCCAGTGATAAATTCGATATTATATAGGAGACTAAAGATATTACGGTTGTTTTATATCACTCGTTGATTCGCCCCTGAACTTAGCGCTATTCGCCACGCCATTTGTAATTCGTTCAATGATTAATTGATTATTATCACGGGAAATTTATTGAGATTGAGTGACAATTTATTGGTCCAGTTAGATTCACCGAAATGATAGGAGTCGGCCGTGTGACCATGCCCGAGAATACAGGAAATGTCATACCAAATATTTGGAAACTGTTCACGTCTACTAATTAATTGATTAATCACATTTACCCCCGAGATAATTGTAGGCTTGGACATGACAGTGGAAGATTAGTATTGAACAATTGAATGCCATATATTTCGCGAATTTTCGAATAGTTCCTGAAAATTTTTTTAATCAATAATTATCGAAACGACGTTTTCACGACAAAGTAACAGGTGATGTCGAACGATCCAACTTCCGGAGAGGACGTTCCATAAAAGTACCTTCCGTGTCCCATCCCCTGAGTAATCACTCCATTACATACTTTACTTTCGAAAAACAAAAATGATCCAATATCGTAGAGTACCCCGCAATGAAGAAATGAAATCCACACCCTCTCGCAATTAAGACAAATGACAAAATTCTGAAAGTTCATACTTTGCCGAGAGAATCAAATAAAAGAAAAAGTTTTCATCATGGGAACTCGAACTTGCGCTCCTGGGGTTTTTTTGTTACAGGGGCATCTCGCTGAGGAGCCCAAAGACGGATTTTGGCAAAATTAACAAATCCATTACTTCACCTCCCGGGCGAGCTGACAGTGCACTGGCATGCGTAATCTCAAGATAAGATAAAAAAACGGCAAGACGCCACGTCGTGATAACCCACTCCCCAACGAACTACCAAACCCCCCGAGCAAGACTAAACACCTTCATCCATGTAATTCATAATCCGCATAATGTGTTGACACAGGAGTTTTACTTTTACTCAGAAAGCGCGAGCAGCTGTTTCATCCCGCACGTGGTTATCACGATGAGTAAAAAAAACTGTAAAAAGTCCATAAAAGGCTGGTTTGCCCAAACGACCGACGACCCGTATATCCCCGCTCCAAAAATTCAAGAAACTCAGAATGAAAAAAAAAAGAACAAGTGAGATAAAACCGTAAAATCCCAGTGAAACTCATTTATTTTCCCATCGGCATTCCCTGATGAACTCAATCTGCCGGAAACTGATAGATTTATGAGGATTCTTTGAAGCTCCAGTGCTCCATAAAATCGCGATCCAGGGCGTTTGAACATCAAATGAATCGACAAGTTTTATTAACATACCGATATAAACGACTTCCATCTTGATGCTGGAGGAATACGCAGCGTCGCCAGCGTCAACGTGATGTATCCAAACACAGGGGCACGTGAGATGTTAAAAAAAAAAGAAATTGAGGATAAAAAAGCCCAGATGAGGTGTTCCTATTCACTAGCCGCCATGGACGATTGGTTCTCTGGGCCGCAGGGGGCGGCTTAATTTCACTCTTTCATCCGAAAGAAATACGTAAAACACCATTTACGTTGGTCACTCCACGTTTTTTGAGGGTTTGTAGCAATAAGCACTGGGTACAACCACTCCCTGATGGGCACTTGTTGATTCACTGTTTCAAGAACGCACACACCATATTTATTTTTGTTGTTCTAGGCTCGTAGTAATTTGCGATCGATTTACTTTACGCGATTTCCACGTGCACAATTAACTTTACTCGATTGTGTTCCATTTTGAAAAGCATAATATAAGTATTACCGGTGAAAATTGAGCGGGTTAAGAAATACTCTTGCAACGGGAATTTTCGGTGTTCGACGAAATTGAATATTAGCGATCTTGACGCCAGTGCGAGCGTCCAACGACTGGCATGCGTATAACCATTGTCGGTCTTGCATGTCTCGCGCAGATCTGGCAACCGTGCGACCGCTGCTCTTTCCTCTTGGGCCCCGCGACAACCGAAGGCCCTCTGACTGCAACCGCACAGGACTCGCTCTTTATCCCTTTATTTTCTATCCGTGCCATGGGAGGTTTACTTTGTCTTTTTAAGCATCGCGAGGTCGATCTTCACTGGCACTCCGTCTAGTCTCTGTCAATGCCGGGCCAATTCCACCATTCCCACGCAGCTCAGGAGATGGAGATATCAATATCCCGAGGCAACCGTTTTGATGTGGAGAAATTTTTGAAGCTCCCTCCTCCGGACGATGTTCCCCGAGCGTTGAAGAGTCGAATTGTGAATTGGATTCCCGCTGCGCTGCATTACTTATAGAGATATCACGCAGATGCAATATTCCGTGATTGGCGGAAAGCTCGATGGTGGGGGAAGTCAAAAGCAGACCTCCGTGATTGGCGGAAAACTGGCTGTGCGGGGTGAGAAGTAAACCTCGTCAACTTTGAAGTAGAAACATAACTCGAAGAAATTCAGATTCTTTCAGAATAAATGAATCTCTTTCAAGGTCATGCGCCACACGACATGGTAAACAGAAAATTTAAAAAATCTGCGAAGAGGGATGTTTTTTTTCGAAGTGTTCCGAAGGCTGAAGTTTCCCAGACGATACGATTTTCGTGGCAGACTCGGTTGTCTTGTGGCTACTAATTTTTCTCTTCCGAAGTGAAATTGAGTAGTCTAAGCTGAATTGAAGCTCCGTAGCGAACTTGAGTTTTTTCGTCCTTTTAACAGAATTAAAATTTTCTGGTTTCTGGAATCTCCCATGCGCTAGAGAGCCGGTGGCGAATTCAGTGATCGCGTCCGATGTCACTGCTCCTGGCTGGACCTCTGCACTGGATGAAATTCAGGAACGAAATGAAGATGTATGGACAAACCACCCCTAGTGGTGCATTCTTATACACACTGGTGACGCTGTGATTGGCGGAGATTTCGTGGTGGGGGAATAAAACTAAACCCTGCGCAATAACATACAGCGCATCATCTCAATCTTTAAATTGAGCAATTTAGAAAATCAAGTCGTAGAAGGGCAATCGACGGCGGGGCTTCCTTCATGGTCCGCGCGAGTTGATATACCTGGATGGATCTTGTACGAAAATTCATTCGCATGGACGAGAGCATAGCGAGAGGATCCGAAACACACGCAGAGCAGGAGTAGCTTACGGAACAGCTTGAGAGAAATAATTCTATTCAATAATAAGAAATCTCAATTTCTTTGAATAGAAAAAAAATCTCAGTCGTCGGGGAGAATCGGTTTCGCGCCTACACTTTCATTCTCCATGCGCTATGCCGGCGGTCTCTCTCTGCGATTCATGGAAGTTAATATTCCGAAATATTTTATTTTAAAAATTCAACCACGGGGATTGGATTGCAGTGACTGCACCGAGGAAAGGCGCAGAGCAGCAGAGACTTGAGAAATAATTCCAAGCAATAATAAGAAATCTTAATCTCGCCAAATAAATATGAAATCGTAATTTCGTTGGATAAAATCGATTTCGTTCGTCCGTATAATATATTTAAGAGCTCTCCCATGGTCCACACAAATTAATACGAATAAATCGTGATGACCTTCAGTTGAGGCTTAGCGGTGTATCGAAGATTAGTGTTTTCTTGGGGAGTTTAATAAATAATAAATTAATAAACATCGGTTCTATTAGCACGGTCGTTTAATTTTAAAGTTTGTGCCAGTGGTCTATTATCAAAATGAATGACAAAAAACTCGTGTGAAGTGTCGCAGTCATCCAGTATATTTGAGGTGAAAAAAAAAGTGAATCCCCATATGAATGAGAGATCGGGCCCCTAAGAATGAATGCTGAGGTGAAAGAGCATGTAAGGCCCACCGAGGAGCAGGCAAGCAGGAGAGCAGGAAGCTGAGAAGGTGAGTGAAACTTTTACCTGAGGCCCAGGAATATATCCTACCGTTGAAAAAATCCGGGATCGCGTGGCGTTTTCGAATGCCCCCTGCCATCATTACATGTAAATTTCTAAAGAACCATGGGAAGGCATGGATGCGGCAAAAGGGTTATGTTGCAAACAAGGGTTAATGTCGGTTATATTGATGTTTGTATACGAAAGAATTTAGGAAGGGATAAATTCACAGCCTGGTCAACGGCCGGGATATTAAATAACGCAAAGTGATATCACTCGTTGCGTTTTTGTTTAAGGCGGTAATTGATTCTAACGCGAATTCTCAAAAGGCCATTGTCCTCTTAATTTATTACAATGGATAAATCCAGCTCTGAAATCAAGGAAAATTAATGGACTCATTTTTTTTTATAATTCTGGATAGAACTTTTTCTCTTTTGTTGTGAATTTTTCAATGACACAGTTGATTATTTCAGCTTCATCTGTGTCATATAATTCATGCAGTCTTATCAGTCAACAATGCTCCAAAAAATTCATCACCCACATAATTCGATAAGAATTTACGTTGACATCCGTGGTGGTATCAATTGTACAAACGAGTGTGCAGTGGCGTGTATTATTAAAATTCTAAAAAAAAGTTTGTGTCGCAATTGAAGTGGAGTTTGAAAGTAAAATTGACGTGTTTTAATTAACGCTGATTAGAGGCAGGCGCTTGTGTGTCACCAAGTGTTCACACGTGTTTCTGATTTTTTTTTTCCTTCACTATTGAGGAAGTACTTACAAATATCATCGTCCATTTCTCGTCGACTGCTATTTTAGTTAGGTTGAGATGGGAGAAGCCTCGAGGGGAAAAGATCACTTATAAAAAAATCTTATTACGCGACCCACTCGGTCGGATAAATTTGATAATGAAAATTGTGTTTTCAAAGGCCAGACGGGCGAAAACTAGAACCGGTAGAGATACTCGAATAATTTCACAATTCCAGACGATATAAATTAATGAATGATTATTATTACTAGATTAAAATTTTTTTTTCCGCGTTCAAACATCATTGCGGCTTTCAAGAATTCAGATGTTGAGTTTCCCGAGCATTACCACCCCCGCCCTAAGTGAACCGCGAAAACAATAAATGAAAATAAATCTCGAGCATGAGTCGGATAAATCTCTTAATTTCCTCACTCCGGAATAATTAATCAGTCCCTCGAGCTCATGTAACAACAATATTATTTTAAAAACAAAATTAAAACGGGCAACTGACATGTCATGTCAGAGTTACACTAGTCACGAACCGAATGTCAAGGTTTGACAGTAAGAAAATAAAAACATCGGTAATAAATCTGGTAGATTTGCCATCGATTGGAAAATTCAAAACATTGAAATTATTGTCTCGAGATAATTCCCCCCCCCTTCGGATTGATAACAGCGTAACCCGCGAACGTTCAAGGCCTACTGCACGAAAAAGTGAAGTTTCCTGCGACAATCGGCCCCGAGAGGCGCCGACGCACTCCCCCAAGTCTTCAAATTATCCAATAATTTTTATTTCAATTTTTATTTCAACACCGAGACATTGAAATGGCATTCCTTTACCCACGTTGCACCCGCTCAGGTATAAATAACATTTGCGTGGCCAGTGACTTAATCCATGAATATGTAATTATCCGAGCAAATATCATTAGCCGGTGAATTAATTTATCGAAGAGACGTACTCAGAGTTTATGACTTCTCAGATGAGAAAAATGGAATCGCCTCATTGAAAAACGCCTCACCTTGCGGGAATTCTGATGAAAATTGAAAATTTATACAGTTTGGAATTTTTATTCAACTGTTACCTTTATTCTCCCAAATTTGTCGATCGTAACTCGACGTTTTCATTTCTTCCACGGGTGTTTCAACCACCCAACGCACTCTACTTCGTTCCATCTCCGAATTTCAATGATTTTCAAATTAATAACTGCCAAAATTATATGTCCATCATCAATTGGTATCACTCCGTCTTGAGAACTGATAAATCTGTAATCTACAAGCTAGACAGATAAACTCTTAATCCAAGTATTTACTACTATCTTCGACCAAATGATTTTTCGTTTGCAATTTTCCGTGGTTATATTATGCCTTCCTCTGAGATTAAAATAATTGAACCGGTCATTGATGATTCTAAAATCCTATGAAGCTACGATTACAAGTCACGCGGTCAAGAACTCCAATCAGACTGGCAAGAGAATTTGTGAGTAAACGGAAGTGATAGAACGCGTATTGAAGTCGACACCAAGAGTCATCACACTCGTTTGCGATTGCTCTCCCATTGGCTCGATAACACGAAAAATGATTGCTATTTGGCCACCCACGTGGAAAACGGGAAACATGGTGTGAGTGGGTGGAGGTCAACCAACTCCATCCCTCCAACAATTAATATCAAATAATTTGTTGTGATAAACTTGAAAAATAATCGCTGGAAAATGAAAACGTAAAAATTTGATTATTTCACTCTCCCTGCCGAGTGATATTTTCACGCCACGACTGATATACCTTGTAATTGGTCTCGGTTGTTTCAATTTAAATAACAATAAATAAATAAAATAAATTTAAAAAATCGAAGAATCCCGCCAAAGTGTTCGAACGAGACCCAACCCATCTGACACATACAAGAGCTCTCCCAAGTGTTGCTCCTAGGAACTTCGATAAATCCACGCCACTTCATCTACTCCTTGTGCTTCGAATCGTGCATTCTAGGTTAAACCCACCTCTGTCACATTTTCCACCAGGATGTACGACGATTACAACGACCAGGTAATTAACGAGTCCCTGAGATCATTTACAACTTCTCGGCCCAACGAATAAATAAAAATTTTTTCTCAGTATGACGCCTACGACGACTACTCTGGTCCTGAGGTACACACCGAGTCGTATGACAGGTACAGAACAGTCCCCGAGGTTGTTCGCAAGTTCCTCGTCTACTTCCGGAACTGCATCAACGAGGGAATGATTTTTGAGATTCAAAATCTCTACGAGAACACTTTCCCCAAAATATCGGAGCAATTGTTCGAGAAGCAGCCGTGGCCTGAGGACACAGACATTGCCCATATCGTCGAGAACGATGCGGTTTTCCTCATTCTCTACAAAGAACTGTACTATCGTCACATCTATGCCAAGAATCAGCCGTCGTTGGAACAAAGATTTGGCTCGTTCTACAATTATTGTGATCTCTTCAATTATATATTGAATCCGGACGAGCCAGTACAGCTGGAGCTGCCTGACCAGTGGCTCTGGGAGCTCATCGATGAATTCGTCTATCAGTTTCAATCATTTTCCCAGTACAGGGCTAATCTGGCCAATAAAAGCGCTGAAGAGCTCGAAAATTTAGCCACGCACCATAAAATATGGGATGTTCTCTGTGTTCTCAATGTTCTCCATTATCTGGTGGACAAATCAAAGATCAAGAGCCAGCTCGAGGTATTTGCTAGCGGAGGAGATCCTGATTCTGTTGCTGGGCCCTTTGGCAAGCACCCGCTATACAAAATGCTGGGGTACTTCGCACTTATTGGTCTGCTGAGACTTCACTCACTCCTCGGGGATTACTACCAGGCCATCAAAGTTCTAGAGAACGTCGAGATATACAAGAAGAGTGCATACTCGCATGTCCCTGGGTGCCAGATTTCAACTGCTTATTACGTGGGCTTTGCCTACATGATGATGAGGAGATACTCCGATGCAATTAGAACTTTCTCGGGTATTCTTCTGTACATTCAACGCACCAAGCAGTTGTTCACTGCTAGGAGCTATCAGAATGATCAGATCAACAAGCAGACTGAGCAGATGTATCATCTATTGGCCATCTGCCTTGTTCTGCACCCTCAATGCATTGATGAAGGGCTGCAACAACAGCTCAGGGACAGGAATTACCATGAGAAAATGTACAAGATGCAGTATGGAGATCTTGCTGAATTTGAAGGGTGCTTCACATATGCTTGCCCCAAATTTTTATCCTCCGTGCCACCCAGCCCTGATAGTGAGAAAGAAGATTACACAAAGGATGCTATTAAGCATCAGACGCAGGTCTTCATGGATGAAGTTATCCAGCAAAAAATGCTTCCAACAATCAGGTCCTACCTGAAGCTCTACACTACACTTCCCCTGAATAAACTGGCCACATTCATGTGCAGTTCAGCTCGCCCTGATGAGAACTGGGATCTTGACAAAGAAGTTGCTGGCTTGACAATTTATCTTCTTTGTTTCAAACACAAAATGAAGAATATAGTCTGGACTAAGGGTGCATCTGGACTCGATGGAAAATTCCAATCTGGCTCTGAGCTGGATTTCTACATCGATCACGATATGATCCACATCGCAGACACGAAGGTGGCGCATCGTTATGGTGACTTTTTCATCCGAAAAATTCTGAAATTCGTAGATTTGAACCGTAAATTGCATCTTATTAAAATTTGATTGTATTCTTCAATTCTGTACGTTTCTACGAATTTGTATTCATCAGAATAACAAAATAAACAAGTCTCAAAGTTTAATATATCTCGTTAATTAATTTTTATTTTCGATTCTCGATGCGACAACCATTTCTCCGGTATGAAAAAATATTTCAACAGCAAAAATTAACAATTAATTGATTATCACCTCATTTTATTTCATATACAAATAACACCTAGTGTTCCAAAAAAAAAAATACAACTTGATTCTATATCTTATTTAAAAAAAACCCCGATGCATTCAATATAAAATAATTCTAGAAAGCACATAATGAACCCAATATTTTTATACATCTCTAGTTTACTGATCGTCCCACAATATTTTACAAGCAGCTGCCAGTACATTGGACTTTGTCGATGCCGACGGTAGTCTGAGATTCTGCAGATAGTGAAAAAATCGATTTCCCCTTTTCGAATTATTATTTATCTTCAGTTCCTCTGCTCTGCAGATATTTCTCACAGTTGGCAAATAATCAGTCCTTATAGAATCACTATCCAAATTATTACTCGTCACCTGAGAGAGTGCGAGGTTTACCCCAAAATTGAGTTCCTTCTTCATCAACAAAAATTGATTAGAACTCATTCTCTCCTCCTTCCCACTTCTCTTATCCACCACTCTATCCCTCAACCACTGGGATATCTCCATCATCTGCGAATAATTACTAGAATACAAGTCTTCATTCTCAAGAAGTGACAGACTAGGCTCAAACTTCACTTCAGAAACGGTTAAAACAGGATCATCGATTTCCACGAAAGTCGAAAAAAGAGAAATTGTCTCGAGATCACTGGACAACTCCTGAAGAATATCGATATTTGAATCTCCACTAGTCTCTTCTGACTTTTCCTTTCTCTTCCCCATCTTTCGTTCGCTTTTAACCGCGGGTTTGTACAGATGATTCTTGACGTCCCCCCATAGAGTCTCCCCAAATCTACAAGGAATCTCTGTAGCCTGAGGCACTCCAGACAGTACCAGGTACTGGAGCTGGAGGACAGCTCTTCTGAGATCCCCCTTCGCCAAGAGCTTCTCGACACAGGAATGCGGTAGTCGAGTCCCAGTCTCGGCGAGGGTGATGACCTCCAGCAGGGCTCCAGCCCTGTCTCCAGACATTCCTTGATAATAAATTCTCATTTGTTGGGCTGCCAATCTGTTCAAATGGGCACAGACTCCCCTGCAGGTCATGACAATAGGTCTTTTTGTGTTGGTCGCCAGCTGACAGGTTGCTGAGACGAAACCCTCGTCCTCATCGAATACAAGGTCAACATCCTCAACGAGTATTAGCGAATTCTGAGGTATTTTCTCACTCTTCAATTTTATCTGAGAGCCTGGATCTGTCTTCTTGATCCGATGGGACTTGGTCGCCTCTTCAAAATCCTTGAGGATCTTCTTACCAGGTCTTCTACTGGATGCATTGAGCTCCAGTACAGTGTACCCTAACTCCTCAGCAACTGCATACACCGATGCAGTTTTGCCTGCACCGTAGGGCCCAAGTAGTACTGCAACTTGATTAGTCTCAAGATTATTCTGGAAACTGTTGTCTGATGAATAAAATTCCTCGCCACTGCTATAATCATCCCTCCCAGTCGACCGCCAAGCCTCCAGCCATGATTTGAGTTTCATCGCTGCCTCCTCATTCCCCACTATTTGTCTTGCAGCCAGGGGCCTGTACTTTTGGGTCCATACCACGCTCTCCAAGTCCTTCTCGGCTTCCAGGAGAGGTGGATTTTTTTCGAGAGATTTTCGTTTTCTTCCTCGTCGTTTTGGGGACTCTTTAGTTGGCTGAGTTATCGGGGATACTATACTCCATAGCTCTCGAACGTCCGCGCATCTCGACTCGATTTCGGTTAAAATATCTTCGGGATCTAATTTTTGGTGTTTTAGGTCTTTTTTCGGGTTCCTGGAGGGTTTTAAAATGCTGGAGTTGTTCAAGGATTTAAAATCTAACGGATTGAAGATTGAAGTGGGAATCCAAGGGACTCTGGATGGTATTTTTAGAGATATGGTAGGATCCTCTAGGACATTCGTTGAGGAGTGTTGAGTTACGTGGGAGATTGAGGGAAAAGGAAGAATTGATGGTCCAAGCACAGGGTACTTTTTCAATTTTTTCTTGGGATTCTCTGGTGATCTGGAGTAGAGGAACGATTTTCTAGCTGCCACTACCTCTGGATCTGGCTTCTGGCGTTTTATGAAGAGAGGGGCTAGCTTCTGGACTTTGATTTCGGCAATATAATTGTCGGTGGAGGGCTGCGAGTGCATACGGATTAATTCTGACATCTCTGAATTTTTTTCTGGAAGAGGGTCTGAGTCACTTCTGGGAAGCGTTTCAAGTTTTTTCAAGGATTTCGGAGGGTCGAAGATAAGTATTGAATCATCCAGAGAATCTGGAGGTGTTTCAAGAATGGTTGTGGGAGTTTCAGGCTCTGGGTTTATTTCCGAGTCGTCATGGGCGGTTGGCGGAACTTCTATCTCTGGTTTTACTTTTGAATTTTTTTTCAAGTTTTCTTTTGGCTTCTTCTTTCTGAGTTTTGGTAGACCTTCGGGGATACTTTTGGCTTCACGCTCGTTATCTTCGTCTGCAATGAAAATATTCTTTTTTATTTTAGAAGAGAATTGTTTTATTTATTTTTTTTTCATCGCTGATATTCAGAGATCAAAGTGTCAGGGATCATGGCCATCGACCAAGGCAGTTCCTCGGGAGACTCTCACCTCGCTTTTCATCATTAAAAAATTATCTTGAATAGCACAGGCGTAACGAAAATTTATTCTTACCTTTCGACAAATCCTCTCCTCCAGACAGATTAATTCTGAGGGACCATTTAGGTTTCTTCGTCGGCTTAGACTGATTCATGGGTTGAAGCACTGGTGGTTCAGGAGAAATGGTTATGGCGGTAGGAGGACTCGGACTCTCTGGCCTCAACACTTGAATGTCATCAATAGCAGCTAAAACCTTTCTAGTCTTATTTTTAGCTGCTTTTGTCAAAACTTTAGGTTTTATCACGACTTTTGATGTTTCTTCCAGAAGTTTAGAGCCATGAACCTCTGCCTTAACCACAACCGTTGATAGGGCCAGTAATTTTTCTTTTTTACGATCTTCCGGAGACATTTTGCTGAAATAATTATGTAGTCCTCCAGAATGTCGTTGGTTCTGATTTCCAGGTGGTTCCTCCTCTCTTTTGAGTCTCTTGAACACTTTCGCCCTGTTCTCCAGTCTCTTCTCAATCCTCTCTGCCTCCTCAGCTTCTGCTAGCTTTCTCTTACTGTGGCCTTTCTTATCAGCAAGGGCAGTAAGTTTCTCTTTATTCTGTTTCATCCTGTTCTTAATGTCTTGATTTTTCTTAGCTTCGGTGGCCTCTTGTTCAGGACTGAGAGGTTTTTGGGGGAGATACTGAATGGGCTTGCTTCGAGTCATGAGCACCTGGAAAGCATTGGAGCTCACCACCTTCTGGGGTTCCTCGTCCTTTTCATTCCTCGAATTTTTCAAGGAGTTTCTCGGGGGACTAAAGATACTCTCTTCACACTCGGAATCACTCACCACGATTTCCAAATCAGCTGGTTGACTCTCTAACATCCCAGAGCGTTTCGGAGTCCCTCCGGGTGATATTTCGATCTTCTCCTTGACCACATTGAAGGGACTCGGAGTTTTGTCTACAAGATCGTGTTTACTCTCGATTATATCACATATCCTCTCCTCGTCATTTCTCTGGGATATTTTTATCTTCACTCTGCCACGTTTTCTGAGGGTAACACCCTCGGTATTTGTTGCACTATTCGTAACCCCATTTTGCCGAATTTTCGGAGTCTCTGGGGATTTATCCATGTCCATGAAGTAATGAGTGAGATCTTTCATCTCTCGATTGAATCCACTTTTCCACGCGATCACTTGAACATTTACAAATTGTTTTGAAGAATATTTTATCGTAGAATGATCTCACTCACGGGTTTTCTAGCGATTTTTGGCGCCAACTCCTGTTGCCGAGCTGTCAGGTTAGTTGAGTTAGAGTGCAGTCTATTGAGGGGTAGCCTTCATATTCGTTTGGAACGATAATCAAGTTTGTTTATTGCCGGACTTCTGACATGGAACTCGGGTTGTATCTAATTTTATTAATTCCGTTGTTTCTGGGATTTGTTGGGGTATTATGGTTGAGACAGAAGAAGAAAAAGAAGAGTGTGTGTATTGTTGTACTTGGGGATGTGGGAAGAAGCCCCAGGATGCAGTATCATGGGATTTCGTTTTTGAAGGAGGGATTCGATGTTGAAATCGTGGGTTATCCCGGATCGCAACCACTGGAGGATCTCCAGAGGCATGAGAATGTCAGGATTACATATCTGGAGCCGGTGCCAGAATGGAACGATCGTATGTTTTTCTTTGTAAAGCGAATTATTAATTTTCGAATTTTTTTTTCCTGTCTCGTGCAATTAGAGAATAATAAAATTAATATTTATTATATTTATCTAATAATTGCCAGGTTTACCCAAATTATTATCATACGTATTCAAAACCATTTGGCAAAGTGCAACACTGAGCTTCGAGCTCTTCAGGAATACCCGCTCGAGATACCTTTTGCTTCAAAATCCTCCGGCTATCCCAACGATTCCGATTTGTTGGCTATTCTGTCGATTGAGTACCACTCAGTTCATCATTGATTGGCATAATTATGCGTACACGATAATGGCATTGTCAATTGGGCGTGAGAATTTCCTTGTGAAGACAACGATGTTTATCGAGCGATATTTTGGGGCTAAGGCTGATCAGAATTTTTGTGTAACAAATGCCATGAAAGAAGATTTACAACAGCAGTGGAAAATTAAGTACGAATATATTTGAAAATTTACCAATGAAATTATTTCTAATCTGTATTTGTTTATAATTTTAGAGCTCAAGTTTTATACGATCGACCCCCTCAGGAATTCAAGCCAATTGAATTATCGGAGAAACATAACTTATTGGTGAAGTTGAGTCAAAAGTATGACCAGTTCAAGGGAACAGAGGAAGGTAAAACAATTTTAACTGAAATGATGCCTCATGGCGAGATCAAGTTGAAGAGGAAGAGACCGGCGTTCATTGTTTCGAGCACCAGTTGGACTGAGGATGAGGATTTTTCAGTTCTATTTCAAGCGTTAGCAGGTGAATTGACGAATTAAATAATGATTATTTTTTTCGAATGCTCACATTTTACTATTTCAGAGTATGAGATTGCCTGCTCTGCTGAAAATTCAAATCTGCCAGACTTAATTTGTGTAATAACTGGTAAAGGACCTCTGAAAGAATTCTGGAATAAAATTATTGAATTGAGGAAATGGAAGCACGTGAAAATCATCACTCCTTGGTTGGAGAATGAAGATTACCCGAAATTGTTAGGTAAAAAATTTTATTAAACGTTTCTCATCATATCACTGAAATGATTTCATTGATTATAGCTAGTGCAGATCTGGGCATTTGCCTTCACACATCCTCTAGTGGCCTCGATTTGCCAATGAAGGTCGTCGATATGTTCGGATGTGGTCTCCCAGTGTGTGCTTACAATTACCAATGGTAAATAATCCTTGAAATTGGAAATTGAATGAAATAATTATTCAATTGTTTTTCAGTTTGAGTGAACTCGTTAAACACGAGGAGAACAGTTTGGTGTTCACTGACTTCAAAGATCTCTCGGATCAACTGATCTACTGGTTCACGAAATTTCCTAACAATATCGAACAACTCGAGAGGGAATCAAAATTCCGCGCCGAACTGAAGGCATTCCAGCAGATGAGATGGCACGGTAATTGGTCATCGGTAGTTCTCCCCTGCTTCAACTAATAGAATCCCTCAACCTCACATTTTATATTATTTCAATGCTTTTTGGCAATGTAAATACCCGACATTTTTTTCATTTTAAGTGTTCGTGATTTACTACTAATTATCGTTCATAAATATTTTATTTTTGTATTATGTTGATAGCAAAGTGATGAAACGTAATGATTAGATCAAAAAAATAATTTTTTGAAGAAAATTGCTTTTTCTCCCAATCAATACTCATCACTTGACTCTGTTCATACACTCGCTAAGCCTTGAAATTTCTCATCCAAAAAAAATTGATTATTTCTTCTCGTGAAATAAAGAAAAAATTAAAGACACAGCATATGTTTTCCGTTTTTTTACTGATTTTAATCATTTTGGCATACAAATGTGATTTAATTAATTTGTGACGCATAATCACAAAGGTGGCATAATTACTGCGGTAATAAGAGTGTTTGATTCAGGTACAATTCTATAATTGAGGGCAATGAGTAGACACATAAAATCCGGAACAATATCAAATCAAACGAAATTCCCTCCGATAGCAAGAGAGTGAAATTTCGGTCAAATGGTCAAACAAAAAATGATAGCAAAATAATCCATAAATTGCCTACTCATTGAACATGTTATAAAATTGAATTAAACCAAAAGACGTTCAATTTCCTGTTGAATGGCCTGAATCTGTGGCTTCAGCTGTGATCCCTCGTTAACAGTCACTGAACATGCGACCACTGGCCGTGAGACACCGCAGGCCCTTCCTAGGGCTTGTTTACTCCTTACGAAGACATAAGGAACATTCTTATCCTCGCAAAGTAGTGGCAAGTGAAGGAGAATCTCTAATGGTTCTGCATCAGCTGCCATTACTATGAATTCGGACAGACCACGATTCAGGGTTTTTGTTGCCTCGTTAGCACCCTTACGCAGTTGTTTGTAGTTCATCGCTTGTTGAACTAAATTCAAAATTTTTGCTGTGAGGATGGCATCGGCGAGGGGGTAAGCTTTGGGGTTGACTTCGTCTGCCTGTAGAAAAATTCGAATTAATCTTCAGGTGTTTGGAAAAGTTTTGGAGGTACCACGTGGAGAGAATTTAACCTCACAATGGTTTCAATGTTAAAAGGCATTTCTTGAAATACAACTATAAATATGAGAACTCACCATTATTTTTGGTTGTTTTTCACGGTATCCAGAAAATAGATTTGAATTTTTTTTGCAATTAGCAGCCTCTCGGCGATTATTTTTTAGTAAAAAAACCGCTTCACTGAGGAGCACGTTGAAATACGTTTACGCGTGTTGTTTGATTAAGTTCCTCGACGAGGGGTGGGGGAGAAGCTCAGAAAGCGGGAAAAAAGGTCGAAGGCCGCCAGTTCAAATTTTACGACAAATGTTTAATAATGCTTTTCTGAATGTTGCTGGACCACTCCATGCAGAAAATTCTTTGAAACATTTTTTACAGAAAAAACATGATTTTTCTTCTCATTCATTCCAATTTTCTAATAAAATTTCAATTTGTTCGTGATTAAATAAATGATGAATTATCCTGACTCACTGAGTCTTCGTCTATTAAATTGTAAACAAGTTGAAATTTATGATGAACAACTCTCTGTTTAATTCGCTTTAAATCTTCAAGTCTAAAGAATGAAATGACGGCATCACGTGGCAGTGAAGTGAATAATTGAAGCTCATCGAATTAATTCCGCCGCCAGACCCGGTCAGTCTGGCTTTTATATCGGAATAGCAAACAAGTGATTATCTATATATTGAGATGGTCCGCCCTAGTCCTGCGGCTATCACGCCTCTGGCGATTTTGATAGTTTGGTCCACGATTCAAGTGAAATCATTCCCAATTCAATCGATCGGCCAAGAAAATGATCGTCCAATTATCGGTAAGACTGATAATACCATTTACTGATTACTGGGTGTATAATTATATTTTTTGGTTGCCCTATAAGTGTACAATTTCATGTTTCCATATCGTTATCGTAAAATATTTCTTTTACTATTATGTTGTCGTTCAATTAAATTATTTCAGGAATTTTGGTACAAGAGCTTAGCGACTATATGATCAAAATGTACGGCGATGAACAAGAGAGTTACATAGCTGCGTCCTATGTAAAATCCGTCGAAAGTGCTGGGGCACGTGTAGTCCCGATATGGTAATACTTTCATTGTATGCAATGAATAAAGAGGAATAATTAAAAATGGTAATAAAAAATTATCTCATTAGGATTGGACAGCCGGCGACATATTACAGCGACGTACTGAGTAAAATCAATGGGTGAGGAATGCCATTCACTCCTGAATTTTTTATTAAGCTGTAACTCCGTTTTTTTTTATTCCGATAGAATTTTCTGGCCAGGAGGAGAGGCCGAGTTCGATAGATCCGGGGGATTTTCCGCCGCAGGCCAGATTATTTATAGGTGAATTCCTCGAACTTTTACAATTTTTTAAACTCAAATCTCTGGGGTTTTCTGTTTTTGTAGGATTGCCAGGGAGATGAATGACCGTGGTGATTTTTTTCCCATTTGGGGGACGTGCCTGGGTTTCGAATTGTTGACTTACTTAGCGGCTAATGGTGTAGAGCACCGAACCAATTGTTCAAGCAACAATCAAGTACTACCAATAATTTTCAAACCCAGTGCGTAAATAATCGAATGATATTCGGAATACGAAATACAGTATTTGCGTTGTTACACCGATTTTTTTTTCCAGACTTCACACAGAGTCGAATGTTTCAAAATGTTCCGCAAGATATCATCGATATTCTGAGAACCGAAAATGTTACCGCGAATTTCCATGATTACTGTGTGACGGAGGAGGTACTTGAGAATATTCTTTCCAATCAAATTTTTTTGATTGAATTAAACATTTTTTATTTCATTCAGGACATGGCGAAAGTTAATTTAACGGATTCATTTAGAATCATGTCCGTAAACCAAGACTCGAATGGATTAGAATTCATTTCAACATTAGAACACATCAATTATCCATTTTACGGAGTGCAGTTTCACCCCGAAAAAAATAATTACGAATGGGTTCGAAGGTCTGTTTTACCTCATACCAGAAATTCGATCCGTGCCAGCCAGTATTTCGTTGATTTTTTTGTGGATGAAGGTAATCAAATAAATGAGCCATTGCATATATTTCATACAGTTTATTCATTAATTTTCCATTTCAGCACGAAAAAATAAACACCACTTCTCTTCTCCTGAAGAGGAAATAAAAAATTTAATCTACAACTATATCCCTGACTACACAGCGGGACTTACAAAATCGGTATTCCAGCAGGTTTATTTTTTCAAGAAGCAGCCGAAGAGCATTTTGAAAGATCGGAGCACCTCCAATTCTTCAATTACAGCATGGGCTAATTAAATAATACGGGGTGATAATGAATACGATAGATTAAGAACAGTAAATTTATTGTACTCATTATTTTTCATGTAACCTTGTATCCTACATCAATAAAAAAATCTCTGAATATTTTGCAAATAACAAAACGTAATTATTGATTGAGCGTAATGATAGCAGTGATTAAACTTCCCAAGAGAATCAGATTATTACTGATGAGTTCAACTGCAGAATTTTGGCAATCCTCAATATTTTCAAACAACTTCTTGTAATCAATGATTGTTTGAATATTTGAGTTTTTAGGCCTCAATCCGACAGTTGTTTCTTTAAAAAGCATATCACGATGACCTATGAATGAATCATAGATTCTAATCGTTCGCCTGGCAAGTGATGTGTATCCCAACCAGGCTTCAAGTTTTAAGAGAGCGATAGTTGTATCCATGTTTTCAACCTCTCGATTGCTGGATCTCCCCACAACCTTGAATGAAAAGTGACATTGGAAAAAATTCCTCATTTCCTCATTGGTTCCTCAGTACCACATGAAAATTTTCAAAGATCATCAATTATCCCTACCTCGCTATCAATCGTAACAGACAGGGCACAATTTTCATCAGTATCAAAGCCAGGGTTAACAGCGAGACTCCCATTTTTACAGAATACTCTGTAGTCATTCTGATTGATGAGTCCCGCTCGCAACTCTCCGCCAATATTTTTTATCTCGACGAACCCAATGTCCCCCGGGCCTCGAAGACACTTCAAAACTCCCTCATCTCCATAGAATAAATTCTCCGAATTTGCAGAACACGTTGAATTGTTCTTCTCCAGGGGACATGAAGAGCAAAGCTGCTGAACTATTTCCACATTGGCGGCCACATCTGAATGATTGATATCATTGATTCCAGGAGTGCACGCCCCGGTGAATAAATTCGCCATTGCTTTTGGGTAATCACATGTGTCTGATATAATTTTATTGTTACGAGCAATATTAATCAGCGATAGCCAAGCAATTCCACCGTATTCTGGAAAGCAAGCGGTTTTTCCCTGCAAACTTTTTAAATTAGTAAATTGCGATAATGTGGAATTCTTCACCACTGCTATTATCGCGCTGTTCATAGTTTTAGATGGTTCAGCGTACAATATCGTCGTCAGGTTGAAAATCCTAGATAAAAAAATTTTATTTATCGGTGAATAATGAATCGATACAATAATTGCAAGTTTTATGAATTATTAAATAACAGGAAAAATGTCACCCACTTTCTGGCTAAATGTCCGTAGTTTGAATCGATGGTGATGATATCAGCGATATTCTCGTTTATCGCCCGGAGACATTCGAATGTGGAATTCGTCTCGACGCAAGTAAATTTGGGTTCGATACCGAGCAAAAGGGCCTCTTTTGCTATCCATCGGCACTTGCCGGTTTCTTCTGAAGAAATTGTACACCAACGAATTGTGCTTCCACAAGTTTTACCGGACAAATTGATCTCTCGCCCAGTGGTTAAGTAAGATCCAAGTGCCTGATCCTCGGTAAAATTACTGATTTGCCCTTCGTTTTCAAGGATCAGCTTCAGAGCCTGTGTCCAACTTCCAAAACTTTCATCAGGGCTCAGCCATTTTTTCAATGAGGAGACAAGTGCGGGAGTCAAATCCCTAGAGAAAATTGCAATATCATTTCAATTACGCCAGATTTTTATTTTTCAATGATTCCAAATAATCCTGAGATGCGCATTCATACTTCCTGGCAACAACTGCACTCCATGGCTGGGCAACCCATGTACAAGGCTCTGATACTGTCAAAGGTTTTAGTGATCCATTCGGGCAAAGAAATTGGAATCCCGGTCTGGTGACTCTCGGCTCCGGACCGGTCCGATTCACCTGCGTCGATTTCCATATGCTCAATATTTTTCACTTCTAAATAAAGCCCTCTCAAAATTATTTTTTTCTGCCCAACTCACCCCAAAGTATTGATAAACGTAATCATAGGCAGCGTATGCAGCTTTTCCTTTCCCAGATGTTAAACATTCGAGAGCTCCAATATGTCCATGATGTTCAGTGTTATAATAATCACAATCGCGACTATTATCGCAGAGTTCGCAAAGCTCTGGATATTTCTCCTCTAAAAAAAAACCGATAACAATAATATATTCGTATTGACGATTTACTGATAATTAATCCCTCACTCAGTCTTCTATTTTCAATTGCATCCTGAACCCATTTTCCAGGTCGACAAGCTTTTCCGAAAAAATTCCTCAGGTTAATGGCTTCGTTCTCCGCGGTGGATAAGTCAGCATGGCATTGATGATTCCATACTTTCCTCTCGAATGCTTTCAAGACATAGTCATTCCATAGTGAATTGGAAAATCCGGGGTGACACAATCCACCATTTTTTAGCCCCGAAAGACCTTCATTCGAGTTAAATGATTCGGGTACAACTACGACACTTTGAAAGTCGAATTCTCCTGCATAAATTATTGAGCTTGGTAATAAAAAATAATGAATTGAAAATAGGAAAATTAAATATGAGATTCTACTGACGGTCTGTCCTATCCTTGTGCCTCAATTGCGCAATCGGCTTGATTTCCTCTGGATAGAATTGATACGCCAGTAGAAGTTCTTCAGCATTAAAAACCCCAAAATCTGCGCGTCCCTTGACAATTTTAACAGCACATTCAGTTCGGTCTTTAACCCTTTCGCAGACAACATTGCTATGACTAATGGATAATGCACTGCACCACGAATCTGTGATCTCTTCAGGTGCACATAAGCGATCTGCATGTGAATCGAAAAATTTCTACTGAATTTGTAATAGTGAAATGAGGATGCAAATGGGATTAAACTTACAAGGTGGGCCTGCCCGTGTCGATCCTAACAGTAGGAGGATAATACTAATAATACACTTCATCTTCTTTTAATTTTTTAACAGGTCGAAGTAACTGATCGCGAGACACAAAATTTTCGCGTTTCCCAACGACTGCCTCGGTGAAATGAGGTATGGCGGGCGTAGGTACTTCACGCTGATAATATCGTGATAAGCTCTATTCTTTTACTTTACACATATAGATGTAAGTACGGATGTACATCGTTGATGCGTCATAGAGATTTAGAATTGCGGTCACACCTAAAAACAGTTTGATTCATTGTACAAACGGAGGAGATAATGATTACGAATGGTGAAACCTGAAATTCTGTGGAAAATCATATAATTTTATCGCGTCGTTATGGGGTATTCACTAAATAAATATATTAGACTGCGAAATTATTATAAACAATATATTTTCTATCGGAATTCATTGAATTGCTTGTTTTACAAAATTAGTGCAGCCTTGGCACGCGTAAACGCCACGAATTATCCCCGAAACTCGATCCGCAAGATTTTCTAGTATTTTTTTTGCATTCATTCACATTTATTTATGTTTAATCATGGGAATATTTATAAGGTTCGAAAGGGAGTGTTAGTGTGAATGTCGGTTGCTGAAATTCTTCCTTAAGATCCTGAAAAATTTTTAGAGAAATATTTTGAAAAAATTTTTTTTTATTCTTGAAAAAATTTTCGAAAAATTTTTTGAAAAATTGAGAAAAAATTTTTTTTTGGAAAATTTTTCCTCTCTCCCTTGGGGTGAGGTACTACGATGCCCCTGGGGTCACTCAAACCCCCAGAAGTGAGCCTCTACTTTAGTCAATCCTCTTTGAGGTGAACCGACCACCTGCAATTCCCAGGTAACGGTACAGGAATTTCGTGGACTGTGGCGCCAGGTGAGCATTGCAACAACTATCAACCTAGGCGAGGCCGACAGCATACCTGAAAACGATTCCTCTTACCCAGGTAGTCGTCGTAAAACATTCAATAACTAATATTGTTTCTGTGAATTCTCTCGCCACTGTGTTGATTGATTTATCCAAAAGACAAAAATAATCACTTTTTTATGTGCGTCGGCCAATATTTTCGCGTGCGTATCTCCCCACTGTGTCAGTTTCTGAAATTTTTTGAAAATTCTCCTCCTGCCAAGAATTCGAGATGGATAATTTCTTGAGTAAATGAGGTAATTTATTTATTTGATTTATTATTTATCATTAGTCTCACTGCAATGTTGCTTGCTATTTATTCAATATGTTATTTAATCAAGGGTTGCGTGTCATATTGTTGTGGTTGAATTCAATGCTTGAAGCGAAGAGTTTTTCGTATCCTTTCGGTGATTTCAATGCCTAGAGTGATAGTCTGTAGCTTTCTCACGACGCATCGTCCCACGGAGACCGAATAACTCCAACGGTATTTACCGGTTTTTTTTTTCCTGCTTTTCTCTTAGAATGTCATTTCAGGCTTCAACAACAATAAATTTTTCAGTGATTCGGTGAATCACGATTCAATAATGACAAATTGAATTCATACGAATGACGTCTCACCAAAGATCCGAATAAAGGGAAACAAATTCCCAACATTCGTTCAATTTCATATTAATTATCAATAATTCACACTTTCAGTTATTATTATCCGTCGCGATTACCATATTTGCGAGAAAAACTTCCATCAGGATCTGACATTTCAACAAGTTGTATTTCAAGTATAGTGCCAACCAGAGCAATGCTTTATCTCCATTTCCATCTCACTTTTAGCACCGGTTTTTAAACTTTTGCTGAAGGAAAAATATCCAGAAGAAACAACAATAAAAGGAGGTGATTATGAATTACGTAAGGAATCTTGTATCACAGCAGTGGAGTTGCTGCTTTCTCTGTCTGACCTCGATATCTGGTCGACGATACCTTTGATTCCTCCATGCTCTTGCTACTGTATACCAGTGAATATAGTTAGCACAATGAACAAATAAGTACCAAGATCCTGGATTGAGAGTCATGTCATAATTTCCATTCACTCAATCCTAAATTCCAGTCTTATGTCAATAGTCCAAGTCTTTGCGCACAAGGCCGACAATTTTTTTCTCGATCTCTTCCACACATTGTTCTCTTTGAACTTTAGCAATAAATTTAATTTCTATGTCGAGTATGTGATGATAACTATCGCGAGATAGCAATTATCCAATAGATCACCCCTTACAGCCAATTTTCTTTTTCCCCCACTGACGTTCAACTATGAACATTCGTCGAGTGATTTTTAACAAGAGTTGGACTTTCTAAAAGAACTAATACACTTTCCTTTAAAAAACCGCTTCATTTTTTACTGATTCAATGCATGCAATTAGAATGCAATTGATATTTTTCATTACTCAGCTATTTTCTTTCACTCTGGGGATCTGTCGAATTATTTCTAGTTAATTTTATCTGCATGATCTATTAAAACGTTTATAGCATAATTCCCCTGCCATTTGCATAACAACAATTAAAATAGGAATCTCAGCTCTCGAGTATGTGAGTAGCCACGTAATATTTCTTAAACTTTTTTCTCGTAGTTGAAACGCTATTTACGGTCATGCCGCCGTTTTCATTATTGATTTAATTTGTTCCTTTGCATTCTCCTTCACTCATAATCACTTCTTGAGTTTATAATTACTATTTTAAAAATCAATTATTATTTTCTTATCTTCTAAGGAAGTACATGCAGCATCTAAAGGCTTTACCGACAATCGTTCGAGATGAATGCAGAATGGCAAACGGTTAGTATAAATTTATTACGAAAAAAAATTATCATATTTATAATACATCCTTTCTAAAATCGATTCAAGTGAAATCAAAAATTCCTATAACTACTGGACGGTTATTCAAAAATTTTTGCTATTTGATTGGATGCACAATATATTGTAGCCACATAAGAGGAGATATGTGAAATGACTGAAAGATATTCACGTACGTGGGTTGTTTTACCCAAGAATAAACGCTTCGATGAGCATACAATTATCTCACTACAGGATTAATTAAAACAATCTACGCCACTGTGCAACAAGAGCAATAGTTGTGAGGAGAAAATACATTGGGCATCCAGTTGCACATCGAACATCCTCGCGGATGCATAAGATTCCTCTAACACCGATCAATTAAATTAAATTGAATTAATAATAATTGAATCGCAACGCGTATCCAGTGCAAATGGCTACTGTAGAAAAGACGCGATAAATGAATATAGAAATCGGTTGCAATCATAATAATGGACTTAACCCGGAGAGCTGATAATTTTTTTGACGCAGTGGCCCTTTGAGCTCAATAAAGTTGTGTCCCGAGTACTTAATGCGGTTAATCCGTGTGACACTTGAGAGAAATATTGAAAATATAAACTATAGAGACACTCGACGTAGCGGACCACACGCGGTGAATAATTAAACATTCAATAAATTCCTTCCAGACTTTTCCAAGTGTAATGACCTTTTTCAATTAACAATCGGGGATAACTTAAATCAGTATCATGATAAACGGAATTTGTGGAGGTGATGATTATCAATTTGAATTGTGTTAGGGATCAAAAATTCAATGGTCCTGGCTAGTGTAAAAAAAAAATAACAATTCAAGTTCCAAAGAGGCCAGTGGTACGGCCAATCCCGGTACCATCGCGTGCAATGACCTCGAAGTGAACGGAAGTGAGCTGGCTTGAGATTTTATACATATATATTCAAGTGTTGGTTGAGTTTCGATCGAGAGAAATATCTGAAATGATTACCAAGTGCAGAATGCCCCCAAAAATCACATCGCATCTCCAGTTAAATGTTTTCAACCACCTGATAAGATAGCATCTTCAAAATGCAGTCAAACATTAGAAAGACCTCCGGTGCCACTCGCCACATGTCAACAACTAGCCGAACAAGACAATGTTTAAAGTCTACCTTGAAACCGGAAGTATCCACTACCCCTAACCCGTTATACCATGAATGTGCATTGCATAATTCTTATGACCCGTATTTAAACATGCACGAGCAATCCATAGCAAGTGACACGATGGCAAGTTTTCACGATTGGAACCTACATAACAACTTCAAATGTAGATCAGAAATATCGCATACACCTAGAGCTGGAACATGCCGTCGGGCTATAATATCAAATCATCAAAGAAACGATGAAGGCCCAAATCATGAACGTCCGACGACATTACCATTTGCAAATAAAAAACACGGAAACGATCTCAATTGGAAAGACATCCCCGAATTTCGAAGAGTATCTCGTCAAGATATCCTAAATCGTCGGACTAGTTTACAATCGGTTCGTTCACCGCACGTTACGTTGCGCAGAAAATGTAATAGTCTACTTGAAAATAGACCGATAATGAATGAGAAGTCTTGCAGTAGAGTGAATGAATTTACCAAGACATCAAGTTTTCTTAAACATAAAAATCTACAGAAGAATGGGAGACCGATGAATTTTGGTACAGCGGAAAAAAAAATTAGTGGTACCAGATCGGTTGCCGATTTTTTGACAGCATCCAATACATTTAGGACAAGTGGTCAAGTGACAAAATCATCGACGCTGCCAAAAACTGGGCCTTCCACAGCTCATGAAAAAATAGAGAATCATTGTAGTCTTTCTACTAAATTTAAACAATCCGCTAATAGAGAAGCTCCCATCTATGGGAAAATCAGGAGACGACAATTGTCATTGCCTATTGTACCCAAATTACCTCCCTCAAGCTATTCAACGAATAGTTTAAAATTAGCGAATGGAATGGATAAATTTTCATTAGAGAAGAAAAAGGAAGACGAGGGAGTGAAATTGTTTGAGAGAAATCACCAGAAAAAAATATTTATTAAACCATTGAAACAATTTTCTACAAAGCAATCCATGAAAATGGATAGAATGAGTGAAGTTAAGACTGATAAAAAGCTAAAATCTCTCTCAGGTAGGAGTACTTCTGATGATAATTTCGAGAGCAAGTGGATCAGAAGAATCCCATGGAATTATCCAAGTGAAAATAAAACTTGGCACAATTTCACAAGAAATTCAACTAGATTCCATCCGACCCAAAAGAATTCAAACTGCTTCACCGTATCAAATCGTGTTTGTACTTTACCTCTTTATACAAAATCCTCAAAAAAATCTTCTAATTGGACTGCCTCCGGTGTTTCCTCAAAAATTCTCCCACGAGCAGACGACAAAGGCGAATGGAAAAACAAAAAATCGCCCAGTGAATTTTCCAATGAACAAAGTATCATCCCGAAAAAATGGATTACCAGTCATTCAAGATCCCTGAGTGATATTAACAATCACAGGCTGTCACCAGTTCCTTCGTCTTCGATTTTTGGATTATGCACTGGGCGGAGAAAAACACAATTTGGAAAGGAATCAAATGGAGGAAAACGCAGAGCATTCCACAAAGATCTCAAAGTTGCTGTGATGATGATAATTATTTCGAAGATTATTTCGTTTGTGGTTATTTTTAAAACTTAATTTTATTGGTTTTAGGGCGAACTGGTGTGGTTCGATCCGGGAGTCGGTCATGTATTACCTGGTGAAGTTGTTGAATATCACAGAGCTGCCAATGTTCTCTCCGTTCAAGCAGTAATTGCCGGCAAGGTAAAATTCGAGCTAAATACAGCTGATAAAAATGACATCGATGATCTAAAAAAAATAAAGACAACAAGTGGATTTCTCATTTCTCATTTCTTTTCTTTAATTCATTGATTTTCAATATGAAATTTCACAGAGCTCTGACTTTGATATTAAGATGTATTCAAATTCGCGCCGTAATGATATATATTTATTCTCACTTTCTGCGGAAGCGTTTGTATTCATAGAGAAAATAAAAATTTTAGCCGCAGACTTTTACTCTCACAAACCTGAGCGGAGTTAGACCGAGGCAAGATCTTGGGCAAAATGGAGTAGAAGATATGATTCAACTAAAGTGAGTCACACAATAAAATTTTATTATTTTTAATATTCTAAGATCCATTGAGACACACGATCGGATAAAATGCAATGTAATGATTTTTTTCTAGTGATCTGAATGAAGCCTCTCTACTATGGAATCTCAAAATTCGTTATGACAAAGAATTGATCTATGTAAGTTGAAAAATATAATACAGCAGAATCCCGTTGTAATTTTCAATTTCATTGCTGAATTTTGTATATTTATAAATTCTAGACCTACACTGGTAGTATACTTGTAGCCGTGAATCCGTACAAAATGTTTGACATTTACGGACTCGACCAGGTGAAATTGTACGAGGGAAGAATTCTCGGCACTTTGCCACCGTAAGTCCAAAAAAAAATAAATTATCGTGACGTATTGAAAGAACAGAAAAATGTAATTTTTATGTTTTAATGTAATTTCCAATAGTCACCTGTTCGCTGTTGGCTCCTCGGCCTACAGTCAAGTATCTACCGCCAATAATGCAACAGCAAATCAAGTTGTAGTAATTTCTGGGGAATCTGGATCGGGAAAAACGGAATCAACAAAACTCGTCATGCAATATTTGGCTGCTGTTAATCGAGCGCCAAGTAATTTAGTAACAGAACAAATTTTAGAAGCAGCTCCCCTGCTTGAAAGTTTTGGTAATGCCAAAACACTGCGAAATGACAATAGTAGTCGTTTTGGAAAATATTTGGAAGTCAATTTCCGAGACGGTATTATTATTGGGGGTCGAGTAACTCAATATCTCTTGGAAAAGAGTCGAATTGTCACTCAGGCACAGGACGAACGGAATTATCACGTTTTTTATGAATTACTTGCTGGTCTTGATCAGCAATTGAGAGATAAATATGGGCTGCTGACTCCGGATAAATATTTCTATCTTAATCAAGGTGGAAATTGTAAAATTGATGGAAAAAATGATACGGACGACTTCAAAGCTCTCTTATCGGCGATGCAAGTATTGGGCTTTACGTCTGAAGAGCAGGATACGATATTTCGAATGTTATCGAGTGTATTGCACTTGGGTAATGTATATTTTCATAGAAAGCAAATGAGACATGGCCAGGAAGGAGTTGAAGTTGGCTCAGACGTTGAAATACGGTGGGCAGCACATTTGCTGCAAATTAATACAGATGGAATAATTCGCGCTCTCACAACAAAAACAACAGAAGCGAGAAATGAAAAAGTATTGACTGCCTTAAACATTGATCAGGCATTGGATGCCAGAGATGCATTTGCTAAAGCACTTTACAGTTCCCTTTTCTCATGGCTCGTAGCACGTGTTAACCATATTGTCTACAAAGGTACTAAACACACGTCAGCAATATCGATTCTCGATATATTTGGATTTGAGAACTTCAGTGAAAACAGCTTTGAACAATTGTGTATTAATTACGCCAATGAAAATTTGCATTTTTATTTCAATAAACATATATTCAAACTCGAACAACAGGAATACGTGAAGGAAAAAATTGATTGGACAACTATAAATTACACAGACAATTTACCAGTTATACATTTGATAGCAAAAAAACCGGTTGGCATACTTCATCTTCTCGATGATGAGAGTAATTTTCCAAAGGCAAGTGATTTATCATTTTTAGAAAAATGCCATTACAATCATGCATTGAGTGAATTATACTCGCGTCCCAGAATGAATTCCGCGGAGTTTGCGATTAAACATTATGCTGGACAGGTTTGGTACAACGTTGATGGATTTCTTGACAAAAATCGTGACACTTTGAGACCAGATGTTGTTGAATTACTGATTGGTAGTAAAATTCAAATGGTCAGCAAAATGTTTCAACACGTGAGAAATTCCCATGAAGCCAACAAAACAATTAATAAACCAAATGGAAGATTTGTAACCATGAAACCAAGAACGCCAACAGTATCTGCACGTTTTCATGACAGTCTCCAACAACTTTTAGAATCAATGTCACAGTGCAATCCCTGGTTTGTTCGTTGTATCAAGCCAAACAATGATAAAGCACCGATGAAATATGACATGCCATGTGTATTAGAGCAATTGAGATACACCGGAATGCTAGAGACAATTCGTATTCGTAAAACTGGATATCCAGTGCGTCTGAATTTCGGTCAATTCGTTGAGCGCTATCGGTATTTAATGACAAATCGTCTACCTCGTGGTGCACCCAACAAAGAATTATGCAGAATTATTTTGGATAAAGCTGCACCTCAAAATGCCCATGATCAATATCAATTGGGTCTAACAAGAGTATTTTTGAGAGAATCATTGGAAAGAAATTTAGAATACAATCGAGCACTGATTCTCGAACGAGCTGCCATAACTGTTCAACGATATACAAGAGGCTTTCTTGCTCGCAGAAGATTCATCAATGCATCAAAGAGTACCATTTTACTTCAGGCAGTTTATCGCGGTTATCGTGATCGAAAAAAATATAATCGGCTGAGACATGGAGTTTTAATGGCTCAGAAATTGTGGCGCGGTAAAAAACAGAGGGAAAAATTTCTGGTGCTCAAGAAAGAAATGGCAAAGAGGGCTGAAATTGAAAAGGCAAGTCGGGAAAGAGCCAGGGCTAAACAACAAAGGGAAGAGCAAGAAAAAGCATCGAGAGCTGTCGCTGGAGTTAATCATCTTGAAATACCAGCGGAATTGGCATTTATTTACAGTAAACTCGATGATTGGCAACCATTGCATTCGGAAAGAAATCTGTTGAAAGTCGTAGGACCAGTTATAGTACCATCTCTCAATTACAAACTTCCCCTGGATATTGATCAATATCAATTTTCAAAGTTTACTAATATTTACTTCAAGAGTCACATTTTTGGAATGAAAAGGGAACCAATTAAAACTCCATTCTTGACGAAGGCAAGGGATCAGGATTACAGCGACTCCCTCATCATATTCAAAATGATTCTCAGATTTATGAATGAAAATAATCTCAGCGGGAAGAGAGAACACGCACTGGGAGATTACATTGTCAACAAAGGAATCATTAATGAAAAATTGAGGGATGAAATTCTCTGTCAATTGGCTAATCAAACTTGGAAAAATGATAACGATGTCAATAAAGAAAGAGGCTGGCTACTTCTGGCTAATTGTCTCTCGGCATTTCAACCGAGTTCGACTCTTTTCAAATATATTTTGAAATATGTATCGGATCATGCTTACGACGGCTACAAAGCCTATTGCCAGCGAAAATTACTCCAAGGTGAGCGCACACTGCTCAAAATAATGAATAACAATCAATTATCATTGCACAATATACCGAGGAATTATCCACCTTGTGTACTCGAATGGAGAGCCAACAGAAATCGAGTGAATATGGCTTTGAATGTTGGTTTTTATGACGGGGAAACGACCACATGTGCCATCAATTCGTGGACAACTTGCGAGGAACTGGCAAATCTAGCTGTTAAAAATCATGGAGTTGAAAATGAAGGCTGGACAGTAACCCTGTGGAATCAATTGGATGGTCCCGATGCAATTGTAACGGAAACCAATGGTTTTGATTATGTACTTGATATCATCTCTGAAATGGAATTGGCACCGGCATTTCCCGCGGCCAAACATATATTCCTCGAGCAGCGAAAGAACAGCAATATTCTTCCAATACAAAGGCGTGAACAAAATACCCAAACAATTATTCGTGATGCCGATAAGGACATGGATGCCATACGTGTATCCCCATCCGTATTGAAGACATTCCAGCCTTTGGATAAATCGTCACTGAAAATATCGGATAATGGTAATAAATCATTGGAACCGGAAATTTTAATGCCCAAACGACCAGCGGTACCACCACCTCAGCCACCTGCAGCTAAGTCGTCACCAACCAGAAAACAATCTCACGAGCCAATACTAGAGACCGTTAATTCCGGTGAAATAGGACTTTCTCGTCAATCGGCCCTGAATGATCGTTACTTCGATAAGGATAAACAACGGAGTAGAAGCTTAGACAATCTACTTCAATCTGAACTCACTCCACCTACGAATAAACTCACAAATCTTGGTCTCTCATCGTCGAAATTGAATGAACGTTATCACAGTCTAGAGAGAATTGGGGAAAGCTCAGTGGTATCTAATTCTGAATACATGACTAGAAGTGAGGTATCACAGGAGCGAAAATACAGCAGAATAGGTAGAAGTACAGAGCCAAATATTGTGGAAGAAGAAGATGTTACGATTGATTTTGAATATCCAGATATTCAATCAGTCAGTCAAACGGGAAGATCTGAGGATGATAAAAGTAGTTACATAAGATCACAGACTCGTTTTATCAAATCACAGTATCCAGGAAAAAGGGCTCACCCCGGAAGTCAGTCTAGTCGTGCTTATATTGAAAAAAGTGAATACGGAGTGAAATCGTCAGCCATGTCAGATACAAGTGAAGCGCCTTCATTGGCATCTCACGTACGACGTGTAAGAGTACCCAGTCAAGCTTCGGATGTCGATCAATTTCTCGATGAACTCTTTATGCCAGTTCTCGATGGAAATCTCGATGAATTGTCGGATGCCAGAAGTCTCGCGGCAAGTATAAAGGGTACTATTACCCCACAAACACCAATTTCGAAAGATTCAGACGATAATAATTTCGAGAAATTTATGGATTCAATGACTGGTCAAGAAAAATCATCGTACAACGCAGCTTTGTCCCCTTCGAATTTATCGCGTTTAATAAAAGGAGGTGGCAATATGGATATACCCAATCAAAACAACACTTTCAACTACAGTCCATTGTCTCCAGGTATGATGTCATCATCAATGCTGATGCCGGTATTTTCACCGCCTCCGCATCAGCAAATGTCAACACCCAGTCAGAATCCAAGTATGAATATGGGTTCTGGATTTATGCCCATTCCCATATACAATATGCAGGGATTGAATTTGCCACAATATCCCAACTCGCCACCAAGTAATCAAAACGCCGATATGGTCGCCTACCAACAAAATCTTCAACGGGCTTTCCTTCAAAGTGCCATGGCTCAAAATCTTCAAATTCAACAGCAACTTCTAGCCCAAAATCAAGCATTTCAACAGCTCCTCGTGCAAAATGGCACACAGTCATTATCTCTCATCGAAAATGAACCCGGTAAGCATCAGAATACAACAAATCCCGGTAATCAATTGGAAACAGTAACGGTGAAGGCGCAAATCCACCGATCCCAGAGTCCACCGAAAAAAAATTCAGATATAACCCGAAAAACAAGTGTGGAATATGGAGCTAGGAAGATAAGTGTTGATCGAAAAGCTGCCACGTCGACTCCAGAATTAAAACGGACAAGTTCCGGGCGTACGAATATTCAAAGTAATTTTACAAACGTTCTGAGTGAATTAAAAAATAGAAAAACAAGTGTTGATAATAATCAGAGTCTCATAAGCGGAAAAGGAGTGCCACCACCACCTCCAATGCCTCCACCCCTTGATGCACATGATCCCTCGGAGTCGCGACCATTCCTGGATCCATATGGCCGAGCTAAGACAGTGAGAATTGGAAAATGGAGATGGCCACCCCCTAGTGATCAAAATGACAGCCAAAGTCAGGACAGTTTTATGGAATTCAAAATGAGACAGCACCAGCAGCAGAGAAAAATTACTCCTCAATATCAAGAGTACAATCAAGGTAATGGAGATACCAGTGTGCATGGCCAAGGGGATGGCTCTGTTGATTGGGAGGAATTTGAAATTGATAACATAATTTCTAAATCTCAAATTGATGAGAGTACCATTATTGAAACAACGACAACAGCTATTCATATTCATGGGCACAAGGAAGAGTCTGAGAAAAAGAAGAGAAAATCAAAATCTGCACTGGAAGTGGGAGCGCACAGGCCATCACCGGGAAGTATTGGTAAATTGAAGCTCAGTTCCGAAATGAGACAGCGATTGGAAAAGGTTACTGCCAATCACAGCGTCAGATCAACGAAGACAAGTGAAAAACCAGCATTACCAAGGGATGAGATCAAGATCAATCGGATTGAGGACAATCGAAAACTACTGCTTCAACAACAATTGACCGGGAGATGGGATGATTATGCATCAACCGCGGATGATGCACAGAGTACGACTTCCAAGGGTACAACTGAAATGTTGACTCAAGCTCAAGTGGTTCGAACGCAAATTGAACGAATGGAATGTCGTCCAATACCTCCACCACCTCCAATATCACCTCCACAGACTCAGAGCCCTCAAAATGGAAGCATATACACCAATAACAACAACAATATCAATAGTAATAATAACAATCAATCGAGTGGATTACTATCCTCACAATTGTTGCCTCCTTCCATCGAACCGAAAAATAATCGAGACAATTTCCATTCATCGCCAGATGCAGAATCACATAATCATTTCAATAATCCCAATATGTTTAGTCAGAGTAGAGACATATTTGCTTTGCAACACAAATCGAAAAAATCTCATGGCAAAGATACGGCGGACTTGGGGAGTACAACGAAAGACGATAGAAGTTGTGATTTCGATTTACACCGAGACTTGAACTCGGATATTTTTGACAAATTCTCACGAGACATGTTTGACTCTGGGAAACGAGATTCCTTCAGAACAAGTCGTGATTTATCACCAAAATCTCGTGACAGTTTTGGCCTGCCGTCCTCACGGGAGTTCGGTGTTGTACCAAACACGAGGGAATCGTTTGTCGTTGCAAGGCAAAGCTTCAAAAAAATTGAAGCAGACAGACGATCCAGCATTGCGTCAACCCATCGCACTGACAAATTGGAGAGAATAGAAATTGAAGAGTGGCCAGAATTTTTAAAACCCGTTCTTCCACCTGCTGATAAACCGGATATTGAAAAAGCACAGGAAATCACGGATACAAAACTCTATCCCCTCACCACCAATACCCATTTTACTTATAATCGGGTTTCATGGACCCTCCGGGTAAAAAAAGAAGTATTTGCGCCCAATGAAGTCCTGTCAAGTCCTTTGGCACTTCATTTAGTCTTTTGTCAAATTGTTTATGATGTTTTGGCAACCAGTAGTATAAAAATAACTAAAGAAGAACGCCAGAATATGATCAAACTTCTCCATAACTACGGAGTTACACTGGAAAACCTCCAAAGCACTCACCATAAAATCACAATAAAAAAGAATGTAGTGGATATAGCTAAGCAGTGGTCTCTGTACTTTTCCCGAATTTTTCCAGTTTCTGTGAGTAATAATTTTCATTTCATTTACCCTGCCGCACACATTTGTCGGATTTTTGCAGACGGAAAGAATTTTTTGTATATTCTCTTTCAGATTGGACCTCAACAACCAGACGCTGAGCACGTGGCCATTTCCCACAGTGGTTTAAAATTATTAAAACGACACATGTCAGGAGAATTGGTGATTTTAGAAACACTGACTTTGGAGGACATTGTATCAGTTGGATCATCAAAACCTAGCCTATGTACATTAACTATTTCCTCCGGTGTTCGTCTGCCGTTGCATACGAGTCGTGCCCCTCAACTCGCTGAAATGATTGCCAATTACATTCGTGTGGTATGTAACAGCTATTTTATCATTTTTCCTCATTTTTTAACGGTTATCAGCATGTAAATTTCAACCAGCGGTATTATATTCCCCTGAAGTAACTCTTCCGGTAGCGTACACGGAAAAGGCGTTCACCTTCATTCATCTGTGAAATTCAGTACATGAAGAGAAAAACAGATATTCTCGACAACGATTCCGGGAATGCGATTAATATATTCTATTATGAGATATAAATATGAATTAAAATCCGTTGAAATTCAATTAACGCCCACGGAAGTGACGAAAAAAAAAAGGGAAAAGAAAAAGACACTATGTCATTCCCAACAATCCGTGACCAACAGGTGGTTCAACGGTTCAAGTCCAAGAGAGCGTTGTACCATTGGGTCTCCTTAACTCATTAAACCGTTATTTATACCATTCGTATACATATCCTCTGACCCCTCAACCTCGATAGGTAAAATTAAGAATAAAAAGCCGGTTCACATGAAAGTCACCAGCCTAAAAAAATGCGCAGGATTTCATAATTCTTTTCTCAAATTCGTTCAATTCAAATTCCTAACACCGCGGAATTCGTCAGTGTGCGTACAATAATGAATGATCTTGCCTTCCCCGCTGGATACTCCAATTATCGATCATGCAACCCATGGTATATCGACCTGGCCTCGATATGACTTGACTGCAATACACCTATGCATCACGCTGAGAAGGGAAAAGAATGCAATCCACTCAAATGAATATGACCAACAACCACACGAAGCGAATATTTATCCTCTTTTTTTATTGAGCAATATTAAGCAATCTGCAATATTCTGCCGGTGGTTTAATATTTATTTACAAAATATATCACTCGAAGATGCTAGATTACTACCGGTAGAAATTATAATCAATCTCTAGAGATAGCGATAATATGGAGAGCCATGGATATGATCGACGATGGGGAGAAAAGTCATCAACATCTCATGTCTTATTTACCTAAATAAGACTTGATAAAATTTCATCTTGTATACCTCTGGAGGTAACCGCATTCTTTCGCCAGTCCTGTTCCACGTGTACGTCTATACCCGTAGTAAATATATCTGGTGGGGTACGACCCAGATAACAGTCTTTCGAAGGCCTCACTAAGGTACGGACGATGGTTTCCTACAGAGTTTTAAACATATATCTATCCCACGTTCGGTTCAGTCTCAGGTGGTACTCCGTTATGGGATAGTAATTTCAACCGGGCATTTCACATTTATCTTTTTCATTTTTTTTCCTCAAAATGATGAGTTACCAATCAAAGTGAGTGACCCTATGGAAATATTCCACGAGTGAGAGACGATCATTTATCCAGCAAATTATTTTGTTTACATTTTGTTTTTTATTTCTATTTTTATTTTCTATTTTTTTTTTTGGATATTGTGATTTTTGATATTGTGACTAGGAAAATCCAACGCGAGCAGTTTAATAGTTGAAGAAATGAATTCATGATTCATGATGAATTTTTAATTAATTGATTTTCAATTTTTTTATGAGAATCGAGTACTTTGGCTTTGACAGGAATGTTTTATACGTTTCTCATTCATAATATAGAACTCTTTTCTAAGAGAGTTTCTTAGGAGTACATAATTATAATCCGAGTAGTATCAATTGTTGTTGGTACATTGAAACCTCCCACGGACATTTTTTTCTCATCGTGAAGGAAGAATAGAGAAAAAAGCATGGAAATAATGACGTTTGAGAGTTGTGAAGAATTAGAGAGAATGGGGAAAACTTTTGCTACAAATTGCTTTTAGATTAGCCTAGTTCAATCAATGTTATTACCATTTTCCCTCCGTTGAATAGAGAAATGAAAAGATTTATGTCGAGCAAAAGTGAATAGATATAGAAACCAGGTGATAAATCAAATTTATTTTGGCTTTTGTGGGATAAAATGATCGTTTCTCGACCTGAAATCGCCGAAAAATCTGAAAGTGATGTGATTTTTATACGCAGTGATGGATTCCATTGTCGATTGTATGCAATTGAATAGTTAAAAAAAAGACTCGATAATGGAGCACGAAATATCGGAGGCAGAGGGAATATTCTCTCGTCGTATGATCGCAAATTGGGAAGAATTACCTCAAACTTTACGTCGTAATCAGACGTATCGGCCAGATATTCTCAGTCAGTTTACAGATGCCTCGGAATGTTTAGAATCTGAATTTACTGACTTGAGTAGCGAAGAAAAAGCCCCGAATTTTCAAAAAATTGTAAAACGCTCGGAGCTGCTGCGAAAATATGAAATTCACGAGGTGAAACGAGATTCATCGAATCATGTGTGGAGAAATCCTCAAAATAAAATATCGTCACATGAAATTCCGGACCGAGTAAAACCAAATTTTCCAAGTATGGTAATCAAGACGGAATACAGGAGTCTATGCGATCCAGTGCGAAAAACAAATTCCCCGGACAGTCTTTTTTTCAAATCATCCGATTCAGAGAGTAGCGATGGAGGCGGACACACCGACGATTCAGGTGCAATTTCTGATAATCAATTACCAGGTTACGATGGGAGGAGCATTAAAATTGGAATGAATAGAATTTCATGTCAAAAGTCTGGTAAAATCCAAAATAATAACGAATCTCACAATCGAAATTCGTCCGGGTGCGAAAGCCGATTGGACATGAATAAAAATATCTCTCATGAGGTTACCACAAAAAAAAAAGATGTTTATATTAAAAAATTGGATGGCATAACCGGACAAATCGAGAAATCCCATAAACACATTTCCTTGATTCAGAGTAGTTGCAAATACGAAAATATTCCACGCGTCGATCTGTCGAAAGCTCTTTCCAAAAATCACTCAAAGTCGTCACAAGTGCAAAAACGTCAGCCAACAGTTGAAGAATTGAGAATGGAAATTGAACATGAATTGACAAATGGCGCAAAATCTCCATCGTCATGCGATGATGACAAGAATATTCAGAGGGCTAATTCGAGTCGTCGCAATTCTCAAGATTTTAGAATTGACGGATTTTTTTATAGCATTCACGATAAGAACACTTCAAAAAGCAAAATCGAAACGATGACTCAAGAAAAACAGAGTAATAATAAATTGAGTGTGCGAGAGATTTTGAAGAGATTTGAAGAGTTAAGAATGAACAATCAAGCTCAACAGCAACTAGAAGAGAAAAATGCCGATAAAACTGTCGTAAATCTGCCAGAAACCGTTGGAGGAATAAATCAGGTTGATAAAGTAATTATAAAAAATATGCTCGGATTTCATATCTTCTCATTCCATAATTTCAATCCGAATTGAACATTAAAATAATTATCAGTTACATCAATCCATGAAAAAATTCACACGTGCATCTTTCATTTTTTATCATGACACCAAAAGAGTCGAGATTAAAAATATATCGATGAATTGATTGGATTGATTTCAGGTTGAACAGAAGCCTTATATGAAGATTCAGCATGAGAGTCATGTATCTCAAATATCGAAGTCCATTCAATCTCAAGCAGATCACCTGAACTCTCACCAGAATCACAGCCAGAGCCATAATCCGTCGAATCACGGTAATCGCGAGAACAGTCAGATAAATCGAAAAGTTGCCCATTCAGTTGCTGCACTCCAGACAAACGCTAGCCATCCCAAAAATCAGCGTAACAGTCAGCATCATAATGGTCAGAGTACAGAGTGGCGACAACCAGAGGAAATAAATAAATCTAATGAAGAGAGCTTCTACGAGAGCGGACCAGTGATCAACGATGGGAAACATTCACTTCTGCAGTATGCCATATTGAATTTCCGCCAGAGTACAGAGAAGTACGTCATATTTTTCGTCTTACCACTTGCTTTTTTTTTCTTCATAACTGTACAATTTTTTTCTACTCTTTTTATTGCAATTGAGGAATTATAGCTAGCGTTACATTCTGTACGCACTAATTGTACCGAATTAATTTTATTTGAGGTACGACAGTGTGTAATCTGCAAAGTAGAAAAGAGGAAAAAAAACATGAAACATTAATTTGCAACTTTCACGTGGAAAATCCATGGGATTTCAAAGCATCGCGTGTCAGACCGATGGTTTCCCTATTTCCGGGGGAATTAAAAAAAAAACTAACTCTGACAATTTGAATGAAAGTCAAATTCACGGTGCATTGAGAATATGACAACTTGCAATAACAATTTTTACAATGCAAATAATATATGGTACGTGATAGAATCGGAGGAGGTCAATGACCTTTCCAGCTCTGTCCCAAATACATCGATCTGTCGTTCCCCGACTTTCACATGAAGACAGACGTTAATCATCATTATTCCTATATGAAAAATAAATCCATTTTTTTCGCAATTCATCCTTTCTTCGTTCCCCGGCGCTGGTCTCTGACAATCTGTAGTACTCATGCGATCGCATGAATGAGACCAACAGAAATGGGAAAGTACCCATTGAATTGTCCCCTCAGTGATCAATATTTGTGACGAATTTTTAAAGTGACAAGGTTTTTTTGTCGTGCTCCTCTTTTTAGATTCGAAATGATGAAAACAGCCGATGGATCGATAAGTGGTTCCCTCAAAGTAATTGAGTCATTGAAGAACAAAAAAAAAGGTAAAAAGGCAAAGGGTCATCATGATGGTACCGAGTGGACATGGAAAGAGCAAGTTGATCTCGTGAAATTCTCGCAAGTGCCAATAGAGCAGAGTCTTCTCCGCCTTGAAGGCGAAATGAGTTCTCTCGCGGCTGAGTGTTTCTTGTGCCTCATGAGGTACATGGGTGATCAACCATTGCCTCCGAATATGAGTGAAGTCAACTGTGTTTATACAATCCTGATGGTGAGTGAAATCAACGACAACTTTCTAATGTTTTCCTATTGAGCTAATCCGTGTTTAAAATCGCCACAGTCAGTTCCATCAGATTAAAACTCAAATGGAGATACTTCTATTGCCGTTTTATTTTTTTTTTCATTTCACTTTTCCGGCTGGATGCCTTTTAATAATATCTACGCGAATATTGCGCAGAGAAAAATCACTTTTATCCACACGGCAATTATTGTGATTAATTTTTCTTTACAGCACTGTCGCGGATACGAACCACTGCGTGATGAGGTTTATTGTCAATTAATGAAACAAACGACTAATAATAAAAGTCCCAATCCTGACAGCTGTCAGAGGGGATGGAGACTTTTCAGTATCGTCGCTGCGTATTTTACGTGCAGTGAGGGCTTGAGACCATATTTAATTAAATATCTCGAAACAGCAGCGTACGATAAACGTCGTGCATACCACGGAACTGCGACAGTTTGTCTACAAAATTTGAGAAAAACCGTCAAGTATGGTGGAAGGAAAAATGTTCCCAGTGTCGAAGAAATTATGGCTATAAGTGCCGGTAGAAATGCCAAGAGACAGATTTATAGATTGTCGGGTGGAACAGAAAGAGTCATCAATACCAAATGCACTACTGTCGTTCAAGTTAGTTTTTCTCCCGTTACATGGTATTCACGGTCTTATAAATTTCATATATTTTTTTAATCTTTATATTTTTGCAATACTAAGGATGTCATCGAGGAAATGTGCAGTGTCATATCAGTGAGGAATCCCCACGAAATGGATGAATTTTCATTATATTGTATTGTTGATGGTGATGCTTTCACCATGCCCCTGGCCAGAGATGAATATGTGCTTGATGTGACAACGGGACTTCATGAGAATCATCAAGTTTTCTATTTATTATTCTGCAGGTGGTTACCTAACTTATTCCTCTTTATGCTTTTCTTCCGTTTGATATTTATTCAGGTATTTATTTTCGCAGATCTGTATGGTATTATCCACTCAGGTTGGACGCCGCACTCTATATCGAAGTAGTTTTCAATCAAATTGTCCCAGACTATCTAGAAGGATTATTGTTAGTAATTCCTGGAGAACATTTATCTCAAGAGATCATTGTGAGTCACATTAATTTTCAAAAATTCTCTTTCCCTATTGTTCGGGAAAAATTTCGAAATTTTTTCACTGGAGAATTTAAATTTCATTACAAAATAATGACTCATTTACAGTATGACATGGCTCAAATAGCTGCACTCCTGCATAGAATAGCCGAAAAACCGCATGAGCCAACAACGAAAGAAATCAAATATCTTCTACCAAAACCAGCATTAGGCTTGCGCGAACCTCGTCCACAAAAATGGGGTAATATGGTTCAACAGGCGTGGAATAATATACAGGAAAACACTTCGGCCATATGCAAAGCTCAAGTGCTTGGTAAAGCATCACAATAACTTGACCCCCTCATTTTATTTTCAATCACTCATGTCTAACCGAATTATTTTTATTACTCAATTAGAAATTCTATCGAAATGGCCCTTATTTGGATCAAGCTTCTTCGGTGTAACACGAGTGCCTGAACCTGGCAAAGAAAAAGTTGGCGATCACATTTTGGCCCTCAATCGTCATGGAGTTCATTTCATTGATTCAATTACACATGTGAGTAAAATAAAAAAAATCTCAGAAGGTTGCTCAAGCTTTCTGTGTT